CTACGCAGCCGCTTTTGGCTTGAGCTTGTTATCTTGGACCAAGGAGGAATACAGAGCAGGTAGGAGCCCTTTGGGGGCGAAAGCTTCCTTCCTGCCAGTCAGTCTGTGGTCCTTTTCTGAAGTGGGGTAAACTCTGGATTTGCCTGCCAATTAATTCCTGCTGGACCTGGATCCAAAATCGACCTTCTAACGCGCGTGGGGGTGGAGAAACTTTCGAAGTATCATCGCCTCCCTTTGCCTCCTGCCCACTTCGTCCCCCCGCTCCCCGCCGCCCCCAGCCTGGGCTTAGAGGATGCTCTGTCCTAAAGCCTCCGGAGCCAGGTTTGTGGTGGCGCTACTCCCCCGGAGCTGTGTGTGGAATCCGGGAGGCTAGGGTGATTTATTTTATGGAATTCCTGGGATGCAAGACTGGTGTGGGAAACCAGGACCAGGTCTGGGAGCATGAGACCAAGCAGCAGCTAAAAGTGTAACAAATAGTGTAAACTTGGACTACAAAACAGACTTTGCTATCATCTCCCTCCTCCCCATTCCCAAGCAGTTCATCTTCTGGAGCTGGCTTTTATCTAAATCACCTGTTCCCTCCTACATCACCCACCACTTCTCAGGTTACAAGTAAATCCTTGTCAAGGGCCATCTAGGAGAAGGACTCAATTACGGTTCTGCTTTGCCGCCTTTGTTTCTCACTTGCTGTGGTAGGCACTTTCAGCTGCGCTATTTGTTATCAAAGGAGGGAATAGCCCCTTGTGTCTCTGATCTAATTAAACCTGCTTGGCTATGTTCACCTACAGGTCGCACATGGGGTTGGCTGGTGTCACCCCACAAAGTATCCACTACAGAAGCAGCCAAACAGGGTTGCCCTGGTAGGTCTTTGTTAACTTCCTGCCCACTCCCCACCTAACCCCTTTCCTCAATAGTGAAGGTAACCTTTTTCAAAATGTAAGGCTTTGGTGGTGGTCTTGTGATTTTTTCCCCCCTCACTGCCCCTTCCCCCTCACTTACGTTTTGCTCGTGGTAAAAATCTTAGTCTTGAAGCATATTTCAATAATAAGGTGTTTATTTTGCTAGTTACACTTGATGCAGTTGAATTCAAGATGTAAAGTCTTTTTATGTGGCTGCAGTCTCCTTGCTTGGAGAACACTCCTTCAGAATGCGTTCATCAATTAAGACAGGTGACAGCAATCACAAGTAAGTGCCACGTGGTGTAGTCAGTACCAAATCTAGTGACGGTCCTAAAGTATGGTATGGTGATTGTGGGATCATTCGGCAGCAGGCTGGTGGATATTGCTTGGATCTGCTGCGGAGCTGCTGTCTGCTTTCCTGTGAGGCTTTAAATTTTACAGTCTGTCCCTTGTTTTTATCTGATCTCTTTAATGACGTGTGCCCTTGATTTCAGAATGCTTCTGTATCGCACATTGGCATTGCCAGTGCTGTCTCAAAAGCTGAGTAAAGTCTTTCTCTTGGGAATCATTCTAGATCACACTGAAACAGTCTAGGTGCAACCTTATTCTTAACAATTGGAGTAGAATCACACTTGCATGTACTACAGCTGTGGCCATTCTTGGGCCTTCTGCCCGGAGGTCTTTAAATGAAGGCAACAAGACTTGAAGGATTTCCGTGTGTGCTTACTTTGTTCAGACTTGGGAACTTGAAGCCATAATTTTTTTTTAAATTGATTTATAATGTTGTATTAGTTTCTAGTGTACAGCAGTGATTCACTTACACATATATATGTGTGTGTATATATTCTTTTCCATTATGGTTTATTACAAGTTTTTGAATATAGTTCCCTGTGCTGTACAGTAAGATCTTGTTTTATCTATTTTATATATAGTAGTTTGTATCTTCTAATCCCAGACTCCTAATTTATCCCTCTCCCACCCCCTTTCAATTACTATAAATTTGTTTTCTGTCTGTGTTTTATAAATAAGTTCATTTGTGTCACATTTAATTTCCATATATAAATGATATCATATGATATGTCTTTGACATTTCACTTAGTATGATAATCTCTAGGTCCATCCATATTGCTGCAAATGGCATTATTTCATTATCTTTCATGGCTTAGTATTCCATTCCATATATATATATATACACATCTTTATCCAATCATTTAGGTTGCTTTCATGTCTTGGTTTTGTAAACAGTGTGAAACCATACTTTTTTTTGGTAACTGAAATATAGGCAGTTTACAGTGTTCCAATTTCCGGTGTACAGCACAATGGTTCAGCCATATATATACACACACACACACACACACATATGTATTTTCATGTTCTTTTTCATTATAGGTTACTACAAGATATTGAATGTAGTTCCCCGTGCCATACAGAAGAAACTTGTATATTTATTTTATGTATAATAGTATCTGCAAATCTTGGACTCCCAATTTATCCCTTCCCACCTGCTTTCCCTCCAGTAACCATAAGTTTGTTTTCTATGTCTGGGACTCTTTCCATTTTGTAAATAAACTCACTTGTGTCTTTTTTTTTTTTTTTTGGTATTGGTATCACATATGAGTGATATTATATGGTATTTTTCTTTCTCTTTCTGGCTTACTTCACTTAGAATGATGATCTCCAGGTCCATCCATGTTGCTGCAAGGGGCATTGTTTTATTCTTTTTTATGGCTGAGTATTCCATTGTATAAATATACCACAACTTCTTTATCCAGTCATCTGTCAGTGGGCATTTAGGTTGCTTCCAAGTCTTGAGTATTGTAGACAGTGCTGCTATGAACACTGGGGTGCATGTTTCTTTTTGAATTAGAGTTCCCTCCAGGTATATACCCAGGAGTGGGATTGCTGGATCATACGCTAAGTCTATTTTTAGTTTTTTGGGGCATCTCCATACTGTTTCCCTTAATGGCTGCACCAAACTATATTCCCACCAACAGTGTAGGAGGATTTCCTTTTCTCCACACCCTCTCCAGCATTTATTGTTTGTGGACTTCTGAATGATGGCCATTGTGACTGCTGTAAGGTGATACCTCATTGTAGTTTTGGTTTGCATTTCTCTGATAATTAGCGATACTGGGCATTTTTTCATGTGCCTATTGGCCATTGGTATGTTTTCACTGGCGAATTGCTTGTTTAGGTATATGATGGCTTACCTTTGTCTGAGAGTTGTAGTGTCTGAGAGCGATGTGTTAAGCAATAATAGAACATCTGTAGTATTTGTGTCATGCCCAGGGTGCTTCGAGCTGCATGTTGGAGAGCCTCTGCTATAAATGTCCAGTTAGATCCGATGCAGAAAAAAATGGAAAAGAGGCTTTCATTTCTCTCAGAGCTTTCCCCTGAGTTTTATTAATTTTTACATCCAACACAGACACCATCTTTCTACAGTTGGTTACTACTCTGGGATTCAGTCTTCCCAGACACTCAGTCATTTCAGCTCCCAGGTCCCAAGGCTGATGGCAGTGTCATGTCTGAGCCACTCATTCCTTCTTGATCTGTTTTCCATCTTGCAAGACCCATGATGAGGGAGAGAAGCCACCAAGGCAGATTTTCTGTATATCCTTGTGAATACGCACATCAGAGTCTAGTACAAGAGAACTTGGGACTTGTAGGGCTTCGGGGAAAGAGGTGCAGAGTATGGAGGACTGGAGATGGGGTGACAGCTGCACGAGTGGAGAAGTGGAGTGGGCGACTGGGTAGGGGAACCGCACACTGAAGTGTGACGTCGATTTTGTACGTTGGCTGCGTCTGTGCTTGTTTCACCAGTGCTGGTGTCCCTGAGGGATGAAATGGTGTGAAACCACCAGACAGAACTTGAAGTTGTCTTTAGGACTTAAAGAAGGGGAAAAGTTTTATCTTAGTCCACTGTGAACCAGTCAGGGGCCAAGTCAAGAAAGGCCCCGAGGTTGTGTCTGACCAATGTGGTTTATTTCTCGTCCAGCCAAAGCCCCTTGGAAACCTGACTGGGAAAGGTGGGGGGAGCCTCAGGCAGGTGTCATCATTGTAGCTTCCTCAGGTCCGGGTGCGGCAGGTAGTAGCCCAGGCATTGCTGCTGAACCTCATAGTCTCCCTCCTGCTTCCGCCTGACTGTGACCTGTGAGGATGAGCAGGCGGCATGAGAATGGAGCACTCAGCTGCCCAGGGATGGGGGGCTACGAGGGAAGCAGGTAGCCAGAGACCTGATGCTCCCGTGTCTCTCCCTTTTTTCACTTCATTTTCTCAGTCCTTTTCCTTCCCTTGTTCCCTCTTTCACCTCTCTCTCTCTCCTCCTCTCTCCCCTTTTCTGCCCTGTTCTCTCTGATATCCCCTTCACATCCCCATCTCTTTTTCCCCACCAACCCCAGCTTAATTGATGTGTAAGTGACAGTCAGTAAACTGCATACATTTAAAGTGAATGATTTGATGTTTGAATTAGAACTTACTGAACCATCACCACAATCAAGGAAAGGAAAGCCCGTCATTCCCCAAAGTTTCCTCGTGCTCTTTTGTAATTCCTCCTCCCCTGTCATTTGCAAACACATTCTTATTCCCCAGCAACTGTGATCTGATTTATAGCCCTGTAGATTAGCTGGTATTTTCTAGAATTTGTTTATAAATGGTCCTCTTTTTCATCTAACTTCTTTCATCCAGCATCATTATTTTGAGACTCATCTTTGCATCTGTTAATAATACATTTTTTATTGCTAAATAGTATTTCATTGTGGGGCAATACAATACTGCAGTTTGTTTATCCATTCACCTATTGATGGACTTCTGGGTTGTTTTTAGTCTTTGGCTAGTATATGTAAAGTTGTTATGAACATTTGTGTACAAATCTTTGTATAGACATATGTTTTGTCTTGGACAAACTCCTAGGAGTGGATGGTTGCATAGGTGTATGTAACTTTTAGAGGTGCATCTAAACTATTTTTCACCAGCAATGCTTCACGTGTTTTTCTTTATGGTTGCATAGTTTAAAAATGTTTTTATGGTTGCATAGAATTTAATGTTGTTTAACATTTTAAAATGGTCTTTTTGACACTTTTACTGTCAGTTGTTATTTGTGTTCACGTGTATACTTAAAATTTTTACTAGCTGATAATTTACCCTTCCAGTTTTAGATTAGGGCTGTGTTTGTCTTCACAACTCCCAACTTAAGAGAAAAAAATGTAGTGATGATAATGAACAGGCTTACAATATAAGAAGTTTTTCTCCTAATGGTAAAGTGATAATGTCCATAAAGAGGTAATGTTACTAAAAGTTGGGTACATAGATGTTTATGTAAAAAGTATAGGCTGCAGTTGCTTCACATCTTCAACATTTATTATATCAGTCTTTTAAATTTCAGCCATTCTTGCATGTAGTGGTCTCTCATTACGACTTTTTACTTACATTTCCCTAATGACTAATGTTGTTAAGGAAAAGGCAAACCACACATGGACTGGGAGAAAACATATCCCCAGCAGAGGATGTGTATTTATAATATATAAAGAACCCCTTACAACCTGATAGTAAAAAGACAGCAACATTTCCTGGCTTACCAGGAAACAGCAGATCAGGCATGTGATGAGCACCAGGAGTCCCGCCAGGCAGATGAGGATGATGGCCCAGAAGGGGAGGTCTGGGGAGACAAGTGCTGGTGTGAGCCACCTCCTGTCATTCCCCCAGGGTTCCTGCCTCCCCTCTCCCCGACTGCGCCTCAACAGCCCTTGGCATCCGTTGGCCAACTTTCATCATCATCCAGTACCCTGGGTACATGGTTCTCTTTTGTAAGGCACAGAATCAAAATATTCCCTCCCCATCCTGGGCTGGAGCGTCTTTGAGGTTTACCAGAATTCTCAGTCAAGACATCGTTCCTTTGGGGAGAATACCCTGAAGGTGAATGAAACAGAGAATGTTACTTTTTGAAATAACAGGTTTCAAATACAGAGAAAAATAAAACCACATCACAAACACCCATCACCTAGAAATAACTGTATTTCATCCAATAGAAACAATATTACATCCAGTGTATAAATTAGTAACACTTGCTACCCTTGCTTCATCCCATAGTTTAACTGAAATATTAAAGCCATGTAGACGTAATGATGTTTCATGCCATTTTAGTTTGCATCACTGATTGAAAATGAGTACACTTTGCTACATAATAACAAACCCATTGTCATACTAACAGAGTGTGATATTTCAAATCAGACCTCTGGGAATGGACGATTGATAATGGGCTGGCCCATCTTATGCTAGTAGAGGAGCAAATGGTCATCACAGTTGACAAGACCACAAAATCTCTAAATTTATAAATTCCCACCTAAAAGCTCTCTTCTCTGCCGATGAATACGTTCACTCCCTTCTCCTTGACTGAGTTTTTTAATACTTACTGCACAGGGCTTGCCTATAAGGTAATTTCCTCCAGGAAGCCTTCTGATTACTACTCCCCAGTATGGATTGGTTCGTATCAAGTAATTTATAATTTTCTGTTATTTATAATTGCCTATTCTTGTTATTTCCAATACAACATTAACTCCTTAAGGGTAGGGACATAGCATCCATTGGGCAAGAGGGGAGGATTGCAGGTCCCGCTGCTCATATGGTCTCTCCCTGGGCAAATTCTTAAGATGTGCTGTCCAGTGTGAGCAGCAACAAGTGCCTTTTTAAATTAAAATTAATTTTCATTAAACAAAATTTTTAAAATCTAGCACTCAGTGCCATTAAAAAATCAGTAACCATAAAAACCAGTCACAATAGCCATGCTTGACATATACTCAGTAGCCTCATGGGGCTTATGCACTGGACAGCACGGATATAGAACAGTGCCATCACTGCGGAAGGTTCTATTGCATGGTGTGTCTAGGAGAAGGCGAGTGTCTCCTATACCCCACTGTGTCCTTTCTTCTCCCTCAGTAGTGGGTAAAGCCTATGGGACTGTGTCATCTATGCTGACACATCCCCAGATCTCCAGATATCCAGGAAAAGTCCCCACTCTTGCCCCAGCAGGAGCCTTACCATCCACAAGGATACTGCTCCTGTCCAGGGTAAAATTCTGCAGCTGGGTACCGTTCTTGGTCAGCCGCAAGAATTCCTCATAGATGGTAACACTGTCTAGTCTCCGAGGCAATGGTGAGAAGTTACACACAGAGTCCACCCCAGTGTGGTTGCTGTGGGGGACAGATCTGGAAGGACACAAGGGATGAACAAGGGTATCTGGAATGCTTCCCCAATTCTAGGTTCCCTGCTTCTAGTCTCGTCCAAGAGAACTTTCTGCAGTGATGTAAACACTTGTGTCTGCACTATCCAATACAGTCATTATTCGCCCCATGTTGTTAACAAGCACTTAATAAATGGCTGGTGTAGGTGAGAAACTGAATGGCACATTTTCTTTAATTGAATTAACTTTATAAGTAAATAGCTACGGGGAGAACGTTTTTGAAATGTTGGAGTAAAGACCTCTGAAAATCCAGAAAAACAATGAGAACGCTGGCAAACAGCATCAAAGGCAACTTTCTGAGAAGTCTAGAAATTAACCAAAGCCTTGCAACAAACCAAGCAGCATTTAGTTAAGAAAAAACGGTTGAATCTTGGTAGAAACAACCCTCTTCCCGCTCTCCCAAGGGCCTCAACTTTGAAAACTGTAATAAGTTTAGATCTCCCCCCAAAACCCATCCCCATTGAATTGTCACTATTTGACCTCTCTGGCAGCTCTTTGAAAAAAAAAAAAGCCTCATTTTCAGGGCTTGTCTTTATTTGACTCAGAGCCTGTTCAGTGAGGAAGACCTAACCCCAGGGCACTTGCTTCAAACAATTAGTGCTAATTGTTTTATACTGAATCTGCCCACGGGAGCAATACCCCACAGACAGGCAAGAAGAGGTGAGCCAATAAATTAAAAAAGTAAAACTGGGGGAATGAGATGTCTACAGGGGACTTTGAAAAGCTCCGGTGCATTTTTTGGGGATCTAGAAGACCGCAAGTGTGCAGGGCTGCGTGCGTGCCCAGGAAAACTTGAGAAGGTCTTAAACTCTTACTCTAGCTGAAAGTTTGGCTTAACAGCTAAAAAAAAATTGATCAGTGTAATACACCACATCGATAGAACAAAGGATAGTGCCACATGTTTTCAGTAGATACAGAAAAGAATTTGACACAAAATATAACATAATTTCATGATTAAAAAGAAAAACCTCAGCCTCAGAAATAGACAGAAACTTTACAAACCTGATAAAGAACATTCATGGAAAGACTACACCTAACATCATACTTAAACCTTTTCCCTTAAGACCAGGATGTCTGCCCTCATCTCATGTTAGTCACATTATACTGAAGAAGCTTATAATGCCAGTTAGGCAAGAAAAAGAAATAAAGGGCATTCAGATTGGAAAAGATGTTAAACTGTTTGCAATGACATGATACTGTATATAGAAAATCCCAAGTAATACGTACACACACCTAAACCCTACTAGTTCGGCACCATTGCAGTATATGAGAACAATATACGAATACCTATACTGCATTTCTGCACACTGGTTGTTAGCATCCTGAAAATGAAATTAGGAAAGCAATTCCATTCACAATAGCATCAAACAGCAAAGTGCTAAAAACTTAGAAATAAATTTAACAAAAAGAAGTATAAGATTTGTACACTTAAAACTACAAAACTTTGTTCAAAGACTTTTTAAAAGAGCTAAATGAGAAGGCATCCTGTGTTCATGAATCAGGGTTCAGTGTTGTCAAGATGACAACACTCCACAAACTGATCTACAGGTTAAATGCAGTCTCTATCGAAATCCGAGCTGGCTCTTTTATGTAAATTGATAAGCTGTTCCTAAAATTAATATGGAATTGCAAGTGACTTGAATAACCAAACCAATATGGAGAAAGAACAAAGTTGGACAACTCCACTTCCCAGCTGCAGAACTTACCGTTAAATTATGGTAATCAAAACGCTGTGCCATTGGCATACGGATAGACATACAGATCAACGGAATAACATTTACTGTGTGTAAACAAACTCATGCAATTATGGACAACCGATTTTCTACAAAGGTTCCAAAATATTTGGGAAAGAATAGGCTCCTTCACAAATGGAGCTAGGACAAATAGATATCCACCTGCAAAAGGAGGAAACTGGGTCCCTACCTCACAACGTATACAAAAGTTAACTGAAAATAAATTAAAGACCTAAACATAAAATAAAGACCTAAAATTAAATAACCCCTGGAAGAAAACATCGGAGTAAATCTTCATGACCTTGGATTAGGCGTTGGTTACTTAGATATGGTATTAAAAGCACAAGAATCCAAAGGGAAAAATAAATAAATTGGACTTCAGCAAAATGAAAAACTTTTGCACTTTAACATACTATCATGAAGGTGAAAAGACAGCCTTTCAAATAAGGGAAAATACTTACAAATCATATATCTGGTAAGGGTTGAGTATCCAGACTATATAAAAAACTATTATACCTCAATATTAAAAAGACAAATCAGTTTAAAAATAGGTAAAGGACTTGAACAGACACTTCTCCAAAGAAGATATAAAAAAGGCCAATAAATACATGAAAAAGTGCTTAACATCACTAATCATTAGGGAAATGCAAATCAAAACCATAGTGAGTTACCACTTCACACCCACTTGGATGGCTGTAAGTGGGGAAAAAAAGAAAAGGACAATATTGATCCTTGGTGAGGATGTGGAGAATTTGGAACCTTCATACATTGCTGGAGGAAATGTAAAATTGTGGAACCTCTGTGGAGAATAGTTCAGTGGTTCCTCAAAAATTAAACAGAGTATGACCCTACAATACCCACTTCTATTTCTGTATGCCCAAGAGACATAAAAATATATGTTCACATAAAATCTTTTACATTAATGATCATAACAACATTGTTCATAATAGCCCCAAAGCAGAGACAATCCAATGTCCGTTGATGGATGGACAGATAAACAAAAGTGGTCCAACCATCCAACGGAATATTATTCACCCCTAAAAAGGAATGAAAGATCGATATATGCTATAACCTGGATAAGTTCTGAAAACACTATGCTAAGCAAAAGAAAACTGCAAAAGATCACATAGTGTATGATTCCATTTATATGAAATGTCTAGAATAGGCAAGCCCACAGAGACAGAAAGTAGTAAATTATTGTTTGCTGGGGAGTGGGGGCGAGGGAAGAATGAGGAGTGGCTGCTGTTGGTGACAAGATTTCTTTTTGGTGTGATGGAAATGTCCCACCATTAGACAACCAGATGGTTACACCATTCTAAGAATATACCACAAATTATGCACATCAAAAATTTTATGGTGTGTGAATTGTATTCACCTCCTATGGTTAGTGGTTCCACTATAGGACAGCACAGTTAGACTCCTGGATTCCAAGTCATCTGGAATCTAACCCCCATCTCCCATGGATTCTGGCTTCAGGAGCTGATTTTTTTTTTTTGGAGCTGATTTCTTAAGACATGAATGCTACACTCCATATTCCGTAGGTCCCAGCACCAGGAACCTTCATGTCTGCTGAGGTTTACACAGCTCTCACTGGTTTAGGAAAAAGCTGGTGTGTGGATAACAGCTTCCTATTCCTAGGGCTCTCTTCCAGAACAGCCAGGAACTGAGAGACCGTGGCATGGGGACACTTTTAAAGGACAGTGGAAGTCTACAGAGTGATCAGGTCCTGAGCTGGAACTCACCTGAATGCTAAGACTTGACAGTCAGAAAAATAACTCTCAATGCTGCTGTTTCGGAAGAGCCAGTTGAGCTGAAAGACAGGGCAACATTTCCTTGGTCAGAACCCACGGCCCAGTGGCATCAGAGAATTTTTAGCCAATGAGCACACCTCCCCATCTGTTTATTTTCCCTTGTCTCCAAAACACTAGCCCAGGTACGTATATAAAAGGATGTCCCATCCAGGGTATGACTTAGCTCTATGATCCTGGGCGAGAAACTGAACCTCTCTGTGCCTGTCTCTTAATTTGTAAAATGGGAATAAGAGCCTGTCTTCATGAATTGTTACAAAAAGTCACAGTCTGACTGCCCAGTGGTCATAGGTAAGTCTCTCCATGGGAACAGGGTGGACCCACGACCCCCTTCTCACCGCATCCTCAATATTTCTCTTATTCCGCTGGTGTTCGGTGGTGCCTGGCTGGGCTATGTCCTGGGAGTAGAGTATGTTGGTGACAGTAAAATTCAGCAGGAAGTGCTGGAAGCTGGGACTGCTTGTTGGTTGGTCTGTTGGTAGACGAACTGGCTCTACTTCTAGAATTAAAAGAGAATACAAGTCCACGTGTAGAATAAAAAGAATGAAAGTTCCCCATCAGGGAAGTTTTTCAGAAAGAAGTCGTTACAGCCAGTCTATTTATTCCTGGCAACGTGGACTGAACTGGGTTTTTAAAAATCGGCTACAGAAGACCCTCCATCCGTCCAACTTGAATCCATCCATCTGTTTGTGTCCAACACTTCACCAGGCATTGTGAGAGCGCCCTAGGATGTGGGGAAGAGGAGACTGGGCTTCTCTGGGGCAGAGTCGGCAGGTGTTGGGGGCTGACCACCCCAGGGGGCATCTGCCACACACCTTTGCTGACCCGGGTTCCTAATGTGTCTCCCTGTCCCCGGTCTTCCCTGGCCCCATCCATTCTCCGTGCGGCACCTGGAGAATGAGTTTCTAGAGCAGAACTCTGAGTGTGTCTTGTTCCTCCACAAACCATCCAGTGCCCAAGAAAGCCCCTGCCCATATCTTCAGCCACAGTGGTCACTGTCTCACGTCAGAGTGTAAACTCCAGCCACACCAGATGTCCTACAGCTTCCCCAAACGCGACGGGTTCTTTTCACTTTCTGGGTTATAGGCACACATGTAGCTCAGCTCCCCAGCTCCTCCCCCCAACTAGGTCCTGTCCCCCTTCAGATCTTAGTTTCTTCATCATTTTCTGTAGAAAACTGTCCAAGAGAATTGTGTAGCCCTTCCTGGGTTCCCACCAATGTTAGAAATTGCCCTACTATAGCAGTTACCACGGTGTTATCACAAGTGCCTATTTATCTGCATGGGCTGTACACTGAAGGAAACAGTCAGTCAGTCAATCAACCAGTCAACCAAGACACGACTCGTAACTGGGCCTAAGAAGGAAACCTAGGAGCCTTCACATTCTGGGTTAGAACAATTGACATGTGGAATAACCATTCCCTTGAGTGCATTTGCTGCATTTTCTCCTTCTGCCACCTGCTGGATGCCACATTGCCATGAATCATCAACATGGGCTTCCAGAAAGCACCCCCCCTTCCTCTGCAGCTTCCATCCATTCCACTGCTACCCAGAAGCCCTATCCCTCATAAAAACAATCTCTTCCAGCCATGAACCTGTCCCCACCGCCCCCCCATCTCACACCTGTCACATGCACATCTGTCAGCTGGTAGGTGGCACCCAACCAGTGGGATGAGGCATTCAGGGTCTTGTCTAGAAACACTTGCTTCAGCACACCAGGGTCCCGGCTGGAGGAGAGCAGTGCCTTGATGGTGACCGACATGGAATCCAACCTAGGAACAGAGACCATGGGAACTCAGCCAGCACCCAACAGCAGCAGTGCCTCCTGAGTCTGGCTCCTTTGGCTTTTTTGAGCCAAAGACCTGGGGCAAGGAGTAGGGGATTACCTGGCTGCCTTTTCCCCCAGGGAAGAGTAGAGACCCTGACCCAAAGGGAAGGCTCCTGTCCTAGGAGCTGGGAATAGAAGCAACAACAGTCACAGTAATGACCATCCATTGTTCACCTCTAAGAAGTGCCCCACACATTCCCGCTCCATCACTGCCGTGGAAGCTAGTATTGTAACTGTCCCCACGTTGAAGACAAAGGAACTGCAGTTTGGTCATATTCAAAGTCAGCCCCGTGTCCCATGAGCCTCTGTCTCTAGTTCCTCCACCCACCACTCGCAGTCCTGGGTTCAAACCCAACTTTGACAGTTCTGGAGCTGTTCACTTATCCGAGCCTGTTTTCCCATGTGAACAATGGGGGTGAACATTGCTTTTACCTCCCAGGGGGAATATTATGGGAATTCAGTGAGATGATCATGCATGGAAGAACTCGGCAGGGAGCCTGGCAGTAGTAAATATTATTGGACTGACATTAGTAGCAAGCTGTGTTTCCCAAGAAGGAGATGAGTGCAGGGGCTGGGTGGCTCCATGGGGTTAATCCCTTTCCTGCACCCCAAAGACCTATGGAAGGAGATGGTGAGATTCGCTGGCAGGGATGTGGGGGTTCAGAGGTGGACACCATGCCAGTGACTTCCAGTCCAAGGATGTGCTGCAGGAGCTCAGACAATGCCGCCAACCTCCTCAGCTTACGTCAAGTTGGTGACCAGGCAGAAGCGGAATATGTCTTGTAGCTGGCTGCTTCTGTAGAGGGTGGTGACCTAGGATAAAGGGTGTGGGGGGTGAGATGGGGGTCTCTTGGGGCTGGAGGGGGCGACTGAAGCCAGTGGAGGAGCAAACACAAGCCTTGCAGCAAGGGAGACCTGAGTTCCTGGCTCCGCCCCTAACTCACTGTGTGACCTTGGACACAGTGCTCCCTTTTCTGAGACTCAGTTTGCCCATCTGAGAAATGAGGAGGGCAGCTCTGTCACTGCCCCTGGAATCTAAGAGAACCCAGAACCCACAGGCAAAGTGAAGAGTTGAAACAACCACTCAATAGATGTAGGTCAGACTGACGAATCAGAGGGGCCCCTCGGGGCAGAGAGAGTTGGGAGGAGTGAGAGAGAGCGCACCTTGTCCTGGATGTCCCTCAGCAGGGCCATGTACTCTGAGGACGTGGCGTCTGGGTTGCTGAGGTTCCAGTTGACGATGCGGAAATTTAGCTGGTACTCACTCTGGATAGAGGAACTCTGGGGCGCATAGCCTGCAGCCACCAAGAGGGGAAAAAGACAGAGACTCTCAGCTTTTAGCACAGAGGCAGGTGGCCCGGGGTCCCCTGCCTACTGTCGTCATCAGCCAAAATCAGGCCCACGTGTTGGGGACTACAGGGGCTCCCAAATGGAAAGTCACTGCCTAGAGGGGGACCTGGAATCTTATAAGGAGTCACCTGAGCTGAGCTTTTCTGCTTGTGCTCATGCAGTTCCCACTTCCTGGAATGCTCTGCCACCCTCTTCCAGGAAAACTCCTATTCCTACTTCAGGAGCCCAGTGAGATGGAGCTCCATGAGAACAGGCACTCGTGTCTTGTTCTTGTCGTGTCCCAGCGCCTAGTACAGTATCAGGCACATCATAACCTCCTCCAGGAATCACTCCGTGACTTGCCCCACCTCTGCACTCCCTGGCATCCTGTTAATAATGGTGTCTCTGACTTCTTTTGTGTCCCTAAATCATCTTTAGATCACTTGATTATGACTTTTTTCAGGGACAGAACCTGTGTATTCTATCTTCATACCCAGAACGTGACTTGGGACAGAATGGTCGCACATGTGGGTTTGTTGAGTGAGTGAGTGTGAACTGCAGTGGACCCCCAGATATTAGGGGCTGAGATACTCATCTTTCATTTGTTCACTCATTCCCAGGGTACTACGATGTGCCAACATACTAAGAATTGGGGTTTCAGCGCCACTTGAAACAAATACTAATTTTGTAGAATTAGGTAATTACATAAATAATGGCTGTGAAGTATGATGAGCGTCCGTCTGGTGCTCATCTGGAAACGATGGGACCGTGTTCAGCAGGGCTTCTCAGCCTCAGAACAGCTGGTGTCTGAGACTATATAACTGGTGGTGGTGAGGGTCTCCTGGGCACTGGAGGATATTAGCTATGTATCTTCCTTTCTTTACCCACCAGATGTCAGGAGCCCCCTCCCCACTGTGACAGTCAAACATGCCTCCAGACATTGCTGCGTGTTTCCTTGCCCCTAGGGAAGAACCACTGTCATGGAGGAACTGCACATAGAAGAACCTCTGTCCCAAGAGATCCCATAGGTCAGACATCCTGGTTTTGAATCAAAATTCGTTAATTTGGTCAGAGAATTTCATGCTGTTTTCCTGAGCTGACAGGAGAGACCTTCTCCACTGGAGGTTTGGGGAGGGTACCCTGCAACCAGAACTTGGGCTGTCTTGTTAAAGAGGACGTTAAGAGGGAGGGACGGTATAGCTCAGTGGTAGAGCGCATGCTTAGCATGCACGAGGTCCTGGGTTCAACTTCCAGTCCCTCCTTAAATAAATAAATAAACTTAATCACCCCCCCCCGACTCAAAAAAGAGGACATTAAATAGAACAGGGAAAGTAAAGATCACTGTAAATCCAAGTTCAGCATGGACACTCACCATTGACGAAGAGGCTGTCCTTGACCAGGGTGTAGAGGCCCATCTGGGTGACACCACTGGTCAGCTGGTTCAGCTCCCAGTAAAGCTGCTCTCTGTCCAGCCTGTGGCCCGAGGGGTCAGGGTGGTAGGTGCAGGCGGCATGCACGCTGGTGGCTGCACCATCCTTCGCAGGTCTGGGGAGAGAGGGGTGTGAGGACTCGAGAGAGAGAGGCCCCAAAACCTCTGGAGGGTGGGGCCGGAAAGAGGGAGAAGCAAGTGGGAAGGCAGAGAAAGGGAGTGGGTCACCCAAAGTGGTCCTTACTGGCAAGTGCTCAGGAAAAGGTCTTACTTGAGGGAGATCAGGCTGCAACCCGAGTAGAAGGGGCCCAGGCTGGTCTTCTGGAACAAGGAGCCAAGCTGGGGAGGCAGGAGAAGGATGAGGAGCAGGAAGGACAGGGGCTGGGGGTGGGGCTGGGGGGTTAATTATCCCACCAGGGTTGCTGGGACCAGCATCTCACCAGGCGCTGCAGGACCCTTTCGGTGGAGTTGAATATGGCTGAGCCACTGCTCGCATCTGATGAATATGGAAGGTTGGAGATGGTGAAGTTGAGTGTGAGGGTCTTCAGGTTGTGTCCCACAGCTGCAACAAGATGGGGAGGATAGATGGCTCTCGCTGAGAGCTGGCCTGGGACCACACCAGAGTCACGCGTTCGTTACCTGTTGTCTTCTCTTCTGGTGGCACCACCCCTCAGTGTGGCCACCCAAGTCAACACCAGCGTATCTGCTCAGCTTCTCCTCCGAGTAACACCAGCTCTACATACAGAGTGGTTCTCACATACACCCCCTCTCTCCGTCCCCGTCCCAGCCCAGGTCTTTCTTATCTTCTCTGACCTGGACCAGCGCCCCAGCAGGCTCCCTGGATGCCCTGCCTGAAGGATGTTCTCTACACCGAACACTAGAAGAAATTTTCTTAAATGAAAATCTCACTTTTGTCACCACTGCTCTGGTACCACCCATGGGTCCCTATGGCCTTTGGCACTAAGTTCAACTTTTTGATCTGACACTCGAAGTCCTTCTAAATCTGGTTCTTGCCAACCTTTCAGCTTCATTTATCCATCTGCTCCAAGTAAAGCTTTAAGCTTATGCAAACCAATTTCCTCTTAATTCTCCCCATACACTGACCACTGACATTTTGCTTGTGGAATCCCATCTGCCAGGAAAACTTTTCATCCTCTACTTAGATGACTCCTACTTTTTCTTAAAGACTCAGGTCAGGTGAAACTTTCTTCAGAAAGCCTTTCCCTTCCAAATTATGCCAGGTGCCTCACCCCAAGAGAGGGATCCCAAAGTGTAGTAACAGTCTGTTAATTTCACAAGCCTGGGGGCTCCATGAGGGCCAGCCTCGGACTGACTGTTGGTATAATGGTCGCCCTAAGACCAGAATTGCACACCCTGGCCTCCCAGCTCCTGTGTTACAATTGGCTGATGGATGTGTGGGGCTGGAGAGCTTCTCTTGGGAAGGAAAAGGAACCCCCCACCCAGATACCTGTGGTGGATTCTGGTTGCACAGGTGATGATGAAGTAGGCAGGAACGTGGTGGATGGTTCAGGAGCTGCAGAAAGGGCAGTCATCAGGGAGGAACCAAGACCCCCACGGAGTGGGAGAAGCTCCCTCCAGCTCACCTGGACTCCAGAAATGGTTGTCCAAGGACAAGCATTCATGGGTATACCATTAATGAGAGAGGGAAGGAGTGAGTGTGTGAGTAGAGGGATGAGCAAGCCTGTGAATGAATGAGCCCAAGAGAGTGAGAGTGAGTGACTAAGAGAGAGACTGAACAAAGAGGATGGACAGATGGATGGGCAGAAATGTGGACAGACAGATGGGGTACCTGGCAGGACAGAGGAAGAACGGACAAAAGGAGGGTCGAAGAGAAAGGGAGAAGAATAAACACAAGGAGGACAAATTGAGAGGTGAATGGAAGTGTAGACAGAAAGGAGAACAGGTGACTAGGCAGAAGGATAGGTGACAGATGGACAGAGGGAAGGGAGGAAGGGGAGGAGGGAGGGAGGGAGAAAGGAAGGAAGGGGCCTGGGAGAAGGGATAACTGGGAGGCTGGAAGAATGATGGGTGAAAAGATAGATGAAGTGATCTCGGATGAGTGAGTGGACAAATCTGGCCAACCACGAGTAGCCAAGAGTTTACAACTTGACCCCGAGGCCCCTTCTGGGGCTCCTATAAGGGATTTTGTTATTAGGAGGCACAGACTACAAGATCATTATCTGACCTCAACCCTTATTCCTGTAGGAAATGCTTGTTCAGATTTCTTCCTCCAACCCTCAAGGGTGTGGAAAATGCAGAAAGCCGATACCATGGCTGCAAGTCCAAAAGGAGACCAAGGACCCAGCATCCTTCCTCCCACTGACACCCTGCCTCCACTCCGGAGACCAGCCCGGGTTTGGGGCCAGCGCTCTTTGTCAGGGAGAAGAAAAGCTTGGCTCAAGACCACTGGAGGCTGAAATGGGCAGTGGATGAAAAGATACGTACTTGTCGGAGGCTCATCTGGACCACGTTCATGATAACCTGGCAACAGAAAGTCACACAGTAAGGGGAGGCCGAGGAGCAATGCCAGGTGTCTGCGCCTTTGTCCACGTGGGGCTCCTTTCTGGACGCTCTGCCCTCTGCGCCAGGTCAGCACCTGTGCATCTTCTAGGCTCAGGCTCAAATGTCATCTCCACTGCACAGGCTTCCCTGACCTTTTGATTAGAAACAGCCCTTCCTTACCCACCCTCCAGCATGTCCCCAACAAGAGAGACTCTCATCACATTTATGTTCACACATTCCCCTCCCACCACCACATATCTGTTCAACCCGCCATCTGCCCTTCACCCTCCCTCCAACCTGTCGCTACATCTGATGAATATTTAATGAGCTTACAGTGTGTCAGGTTCCATTTACATTTGGGGAATACACTGCTGAACTAGACGGCCTTTGCCCTGCCGGAGCTTACGTTAGCATAGTTGTACATGGAGCCTGTCTGTCCCTGGTGCCGGGCACCAGGCCTGGCTTATAGCAGATGCTTGGTACACGCTGAATGAGTGAACACAGTGAAGCATGTAAGTTGTGCAGTTTACAAAAGGGGAAATCCTAAACGGGCTCCTGTAATGGCCAAGGTGAAGGGAAAAGAACGTAGACTCAGAAGAACATCAAAACCTAGACTGGAGCAAAACCTGCCGTGGGGGTGGACAGTGCCTTTCCCTTCTCTGTGCTTCCCTTTTCTTTCCTCTTTGCTAAAATGGGAGTCAGAAAGGATCCGGACGTCTCCCTGCCCACCTGATGGGGCAGTCGTGATAAGAAAGTGTGACTTGCCAAGCTCCATTCCCAGGTTGGGGACCGAGAAGGAAGCTGAGTAATTCCAGTCATAATTACCTCACCACAGCCATGCTCTGCCCCCCAGGACCCTCTCATTAAGGGTCACCCGTTCAAATGCTGTTTCTTCCTGGATTCTAGGCTGATGCCCAGGGTGTCTGAAGCTTGGACCCCCAAGATGTTCAGAACACCTGCCTTCCTTCCTGGGATAGGGGTCCCAACCAAGAGAGAAGCCCATCTTGGTCAGGGTGAGAAGTGGGGAGAGGAGACAGATGTGGGATTTCCTTTCCCTAAGTCTCCCCTAGAAAGACGCTTGCATGAGTTAGTGTGTGGAACAGAGCACAGCATTGGATGCTGACCGCTGGACTCATGCCCTGGCTCCCTCACCTTCAAGCTGCACCCACTTGGGCAAATGACAAACTTTCTGAGCCTCAGTGTCTTCATCTGTAAAGTAGGTTTAATCAAGGAGCAGCCTTGCAGGGTGGCTGTGTGAGGTCATTGTGGAGTTGAGGTTCCCACTGGAGTTTGTCTCAGGGTTTCCCCTAGAGAGCTGACTAGTCAAGGGAAACCCTTCCAGAGTTAGGGTGTGGACTCAGTGAGGTAGACTGAAAACTGCTCACCGTTGAGGTAGAGACTGTCCTTGTCCAGAGAATAGGGGCCCAGCCGGGTGATGCCATGGGTCTGTCTGCTCAGTTCATGGAACACCTGCTTGGCAGGCAGACCCGGGCTGCTGGAGGGCTGCTGGTAGGTGCAGAGGATGTCCACCCCTGTCTTGGCGCCATTCTTCACAGACCTGGGGAAGGAGAGGTTGACCTTTGAGGGATGCAGTCCACTTGGCACCTGTCCATCTGTGGTCACTGCACACCTCATTTCCTGTGTTCCAGCTTTGTTGAACCATTCTCTGTCTCCACCTGGCAAGACTCACCCCAGGATCTTTGCACATGCAGTCACTTCAAGTTTCTCCCCTTCCCTCTACCTGGGTGATCTCCTGATCATCCTTCAGGTCTCCACTTAGATACCTCCTCCGCCTCCAAGAACTCTCCCAGGCTGGGTCAGGGACCTCTTCTGGTTCCCACAACACCCTTGCTTCCCCCATCAAGCCCTAGTTACCCTCTAGGTGAGCATATAGTATCTGTCCCTGTTTCCTCCAGATGGTGATCTCCGTGAGGTCAGGGAATGAGCCAGTCTAGTTCACTGTTGTCATGTGGAACCCCCAGCACCTAGCACATTGCCTGCTCTGTGAAAACATCTAAGTCCCAGTGATTTTAAAAGGTAGGCCATCCATACAGTGGGATGTTATTCAGCCTTAAAAGGAAGGAAACTGGGGTGGGGGGTATAGCTCACGTGGTAGAGTGCATGCTTAGCATGCACGAGATCCTGGGTTCAGTCCCCAGTACCTCCACTGAAAACCAAATAAATAAATAGATCTAATTACCTCCCCTCTGCAAAAAACAAACAAACAAACAAACAAACAAAAAACTGACACACACTACAACGTGGATGAACCTTGATAACATTATGCTGAATGAATTAAGCCAGTCGCAAAAAGACAAATACTGTATAATTTCACCTCTGTAAGGTGCCCCAAGTAGTCAAGTTCACAGTAGTCACACCCAGAAAATAGAATGGTGGTTGCCCGCATCTGGGGGTAGGTGGAAATGGACAGCTGTTGTTCAATGGGTCTGGAGTTTCAGTTTGCAAGGTCTGGAGAGTGGCTGCACAACCGTGTGAATATACTTAACGCTGCCGAACTGTACACTTAAAAACAGTTCAGATGGTAAGTTTCATGTGATGTGTATTTTTACCACAATTGGGAAAAAAAACAGGGGGAGGGTATAGCTCAGTGGTAGAGTGTGTGCTTAGCATGCATAAGGTCCTGGGTTCAATCCCCAGAACCTCCACTAAAAAATAAATAAGCTTAATTACACCTCCGCCAAAATTCAGCAAAAAAAAGAAACAACAAAAACAACTTCTCCCAGACTATGTGGTGTCGACTCTGCTGACTGTCTTGAATCTCTTCTCCCTCCGTCCCTCCCTCTGTCTTGCTCTCTCTCTGCTCCAGCCACACTGGCCTCCTTGCTGTTCATTGAACATGCCAAGCCCATTCCCACCTCAGGATCTTTGCCCACGCGGTTCCCTCTGTCTGGAACAGTATTCATGGCCAAATCCTTCTTCTCAAATTGGGACACAACTCAGATGTCACCTCCACAGAGAGAACCCCCTGTTCCCCTGGGCAAAGCTGCTTTCCTGTCTGTTTCCACTCTGACTGTATCTGACATAACTTTACTTAAATATTTATTCTCCTGCTAGGTATCGGTTTTCTAGACTAGATGTGGGCAGGAGTAGTGCCTGGTACCCGGACTCCTGCCTGCCTCAGGGTCTATGCCATTTGTATGAAAATATGAATGGAAAAGTGCCTCACAAATGCCAACAGGTCACAAATTGACCAGAAGACGGGAGAGTCATTGCTCAGTGGGTACAGAGTTTCTGCTCAGGGTGACGAAAAGTTTTGGAAGTAGATAGTGGTGATGGGTATGTAACATTGTGCATGTAATCAGTGTCACTGAATTATATAGTTAAAAATGGCTAATTTCATGTCTATATTTACTTTATCACAATGTAAGAAATAAATAATGTGATATGAAAAAATGGATGCAGAAAAGGACCCTGTGAGAACAGCCTCCTGCATCTGGGCAGCCCCAGCCAGGAGTCTGTGTCCCTAGGTGGTGGGCTGTGGCAGGTGGCGGTGTTCTCACCTTAGCGAGGTGACTCTGCAGCCTGCATAGCGGGCACCCAGGCTGCTTCTCTGGAACAACGGGCTGAGCTGGAGAGGAAGGAGAGACAGCCAGTGGTGGTCCTAGGTGAGCATCGGCCTATAGGATGGGCTCAACGGGGTGAGAGGGGAAGCAGGCATCTCACCAGGTGCTGCATGAGGGTGTCTGTGATGTTGAACTTGAGGGAGCTGGGGTGGCCCATGTCTGCCGAAAAGCGCAGGTTGTCGATGGTGAAGTTCAGCGTGAATGGCTCCTTACTGACCTCTTCAGCTAAAGATACAGAGAGAACCAAGGCTGAAGGAGGCCCAGTGTCCACCCCAGGGTGGGGTTCCCAAGGGCCCTTTGTCCTCCTCCTGATTAACCTGAGGGCCGCTTGTAAGTGGTGACAGCTCCAGCAGCCAGTAAGGGCAGGCTTAATGACTTGCGGAGGCGTGATGGGCCATTTGCACCCTGATGTAGGCATGGGGAGCTCTGTGAAAACCCTGGTGGCTTTGTTCTTTCCCAGGAGAAAAGGCACTGGTGACCCCAGACATCCACAGTCTCTCCACTTTCCATCTCTGCCTCTCTGCCTCTCTCTCTCTCTGTGCCTCTGTCTCTATGAATATGCACATATATTTATATATAAATATATTAATGAATATATTATATATAAGTATGTAACATATAGAGTTATATAAAAATATGTATGCATATATGCCTCTCTCCTCCCCTCACAGCCAGGTGTGCCAGTCTTCATGCCTTGGCTAAAAAATCCCAACCATCTGGCAACTACAGCCAGCCTTCCTGCATCTCAGTTTACTGATGTGTAAGATAATGATCCCTACTTCAGAGGTTATCATGAAGTGGAAACAAGTTAATTTCTGTAAAATGTTTATGCGCAGTGCTGGGCACAGACTGATCAATAGTTGGGGCTGACCTGTAGAGACCCCAGGAGCAACAGAATAAATGAGCATGTGATGCAGGGGAGACCAGAGGCCCCCTGACTTGACTAGACGAGCATTGCAGGAGCTAAATGATTAAGACAAAACCTGGCAGAGAGGTTTACCTCCCCTCTTCCTGCCCTCCCTTCTGTGCCTGCCTCCTTCCAGGCTTCCTTCTGTTCAGCTTTCTTTCCATCCTTCCATATTTCTTCCCATCCATTTGTCCTTTCTTCCACTCATCTATCCATACATCTGTCCATTTATCCTCCTGTCCTTCCATCCATCCATCCATCATTTCTTCCCTACCTCGCGCCTTCCCTTCCCTCTTCCCATTTGTACCTCCTTTTATGCATCCTTCTGTCCATATTTCCTTCATTCTCTGCTTTCTTTTATCCATTCATCGTTCCTTGTCCCCCACCATCATTTTCTTCCTTCCTTCCGTCCATCATCCATCTTTCCTTCCTTTCATCCCTGTCTCCTTCCTTCCCCGTTTCTACACCTTCCTCCCTTATCCTTTTCCTCTTCTATTCATCTTTTCTGCCTTTCATTGGCTCATCTGTCTTCTCTCTCTCCCTCCTTCCCTTCATCACTTCTTCCTTCCATCCATCCACCTTGCCTTCCTTCCATGCACATTGAATTGGTCCTAGAATGCTCCAGGCACTATCCCAAGGACTGGATAGTGACAGACAAAACACAGAGCTGATTTTAACTTAGTTTTCCTCTTATTTGCTGCTTCTTACTTGGAAAACCAGTTGTTTTGGACCCTGCTGTAGTCGGAAGGAGCGAGGGAGGGTGCTGTGGTGTAAAAGACCAGGGATGGACCCAGGGACAGCTGGAGAGGGTTCAAATAGCACACTCCTAAGGCAAGGGCGACTGATTCTTGAAAATCTACAAGGTTCTCATCTCAGGGTTTACTGGGAATGGCAGGGGAGTCTGGCCCATGAACTAGAACATAATAGGTGTGGAATAAACTAACTGATGTATGAATAGCGTGGAGAGTGAGTTTTGGAGTCACAGGAACTCTGTTATTTGCCGTGTGGCTTGGTAGCCTTTCTGAGTTTCCTCAGCTCTAAAATGGAGCAAAGTCACATGGTTGTAGTGAGAATTAAAGTATAGAGTGTATGTTTTGGAATGAATTGTGTCCCCCCTAGAATTCATATGTTGATGCCCTGGTCCCCAGTACCTCAGAAGGTGACCGTATTTGAAGCGTAAGCCTTTTAAGAGGTAATTAATTTAATGAGGCCACCAAGGTGGACACTAATTTAATATGACTGATGTCCTTATAAGAAGAGGCGATTAGGACACAGGGAGACACAGGAGTGTGTGCACAGAGGGACAAGTATGTGAAGAGGCAGCAGGAGGGCAGCCATCTGCAGGCCAAGGACGGGCCTCAGGGGAAACCAGCCCTGCCGGCACCTTGACCTTGGACTTCCAACCCTCAGGACTGTGAGAAAGTAAAGTTTTGCTGTTTGAGACACCCAGTCTTTGGTATTTCGTTACGGCAGCCCGAGCTGACTAATAGAGCATGTAACTTAGCACAGGATCTGGGAGGCAGGCAGTTTACATCAGTGTTCACCGAAAATCCAGCAACAGGCAGAACACCAATGCTGAGGACCCCTCGGGAACCAGAAACAGAGATGTGCAGGGAAGGATCAGAAAAGAGCACAGGGGCAAGAAGGTTTCAGGAGAACTGAGATAAAAGCCCCGTGAGGGTCAGAACGTGGTGGGAGGACATGACCGTGTCTGCAGCCGCCCCACTCGGGCCTGGAACTCTGCCAGGATCCAGGAGAGAGAGAGAGAAGGGGTGCTTCCCTCACCGAGGAAGGAGGTGACGGAGAACGGCTGCTTTCCCACCCCAGCGTGGGGGCGCGCTTAGGAGAGCGGGGCGGGGGTACTCACTGGGGGTGGCGGCGGCTGCGGGTCCGTAGGTGTAACCTGCAGGGAGAAGGCGAGAGAGGCTGCATCAGAGTTGGGGTGAACATAAAGGAGTAGGTGAGGGAGGCTGTGAGGACCTTGTAGAAGAAGCAAAGAGGAAGAGACAGTAGAGGGATGTTCAGGGACGAGGCAGCTGGGCCACGAGACTGAAAGTGGCTGGACCCAGTTCTGACTTCATCGTAATGAAGGTAAAGCTGACTTTAGAGAAGTGAAGGCAATGACAGCACGAGGCAGGGAGGGAGGCCACAGCTGTAAGACAGTCCCTCACCGTTGACGTAGAGGCTGTCCCCATCCAGGGTGAAGGAGCCCAGCTGGCTGACGCCGTGGGTCTTGTGGCTCAGCTCCCAGTACAGCCGCTCTCTGTCCAGCCCGGGTGCCGTGGGGTCAGAGTGCAAGGTGCAGACCATGTCCACGCCAGTGGCTGCTCCACCCTTTTCACGCCTGGAGAAGAAAGGACATGGGAACATCGGGTACCAAGGACGGGTCCTCCCGGGTGTGGAAAGCAAGAAAGTGAAAGGGGGGAGGCTGAGGGAGATACTGAAGGACTTAGCTCTGAAGCCTGCTTCTCCTAAGTGTCTTTCATCGGAGACAAGCCCCTCACAATTAAGGATGGAAAACATTTAAACAGAATTTGCAGAGAGGAATTTGCCGTGGTTACCCCACTGCTTCTAAGAGGAGAGCCTTCATGTAAAACAAAATATCACACAGATTTCATAAATAAAAACACAATGCCTCATTTCTGAGCCTTGAGCATGTCTCCCCCTGGGCGTGAAGTAGGCATGAAGGAGTCACGGTGGGCCTGGAGCTCAGCACGTCCAGGGGCACGCCTAGCACCTGAGCCCCGCTGGCCAGCGCACGAGTGTCTGCCTGCCACGATGAATCATTCCATCTGGGCTTCTCACCTGAGCGACTCCAGCCTGCAGCCAGCGTCAAGGGGGCCGACACTGGTCTTACTGAGCAAGGCCCTGAGCTGGTGGGGAAAGAGACAGAGGTGAGCAGAAGGGCAGAGGGGATATGCAGGCGGGTATCTGGTGGACCTAACAGCATCAAAGGGCTCTCACTTGCTGCTGTAAGATCCTCTCGGTAGAGCTGAACTTCAGAGAAGCTGGGTGCCCCAGGTCCTCTGTGTAGTACACGTTGGTGATGGTGAAGTTCAGGGTGAAGGACACCAGGTGAAGGTCAGCAGCTGCAGTGGAGGAGGAAGAGAAAGATGTCCAGTTTGGGCCATAGGAATGCTGAGGTTTCCTGGGGCTGTAACCATGGGGACCGGCTGTGGACTAAGTATACCCATGGGCTACCCGAGCTGAAGGAGAGACATTATGGAATTCCTAAGACATTGGGGACCTCCACTCATTCATTCAGTGAGCATTTATTGAGCGCCTAATGTGTGTGAGGTTCTGTGCTGGACTCTGCAGGTCCAAGGATGAGCAGCGCATAGTCTCTCAGTGTGGCCAGGAGAGTGATCAGACCATTATGCTGCTGGGGGGTGGTGGTGTGCAAGTCCAGGATAGGCACGCACCCAGTGACTGAGGTGAGCTTCCTGGAGGAAGCATCATTTTAAGTGTGTCCAAAGTGTAAGAGTTAAGTGAATGGGAACTGGGCAAGTGTTAAGCAGAAGGAACAGCCTGGCTAAAGTCCTGGCAGGAGGACAGAGCAGCTGTGCTCAGTGAAGTGCACTGGCCACGAGGAAGTGCATTATGGTCGTGGGGAAGGGTAGACTGGGGACTTAGAGGGGTCCTCTGAGCCCAGAACACTGAGGCAGTGACTAGCAGTGCAGGGCTTTGGAGGCGATTTGTAGACCAGATGGAGTCATCCAAAGACGGTCCACAAGAGGGGAGTGATATGGACAGAGGTACCCTGTAGGGGACGCTGCAGCTGCTGTGTGGAGGCCTCTAATCCCGTGTAGAAGCTACTGCAGTTGTCCTGTAAAAAACGCTGGTGGCCTGAATATAGACTGGGTGATGGAGACGCAGACAAGGAAGGACTCAGGATACTCAGAAAGAAGAGATGATTCAGTGATGGATGGATGTGGGTGGTGAGTGAAAGGGAGGGTTAAAGTTGGTGCCCGTATCCCTCCTTCGGTGATGAGGAGAAGGAGCAAATCTGGGAGAAGCTGACGACATCAGGGTCAGAGACCAAGATGTTGCGTGACGTCTGGCAGAGGGGTTGCCCAAGGCTCAGGAGCTGCTGTGTGGTGTGGGCTGGACTCGGGAGTTAGATTCTGAGCCAGCTGGCCCCTGAACTGTGGAAATGGACGAGTTCACTCAGAGAAGGTGAGTAAGCAGTGAGGGAAGAAGTGACCTGGTGTAAGTGAAGTTGTAGAAATGGTGTGGGTACCAGGAAGGGCGTTCCTACCTGTGGGCTTGCGGGGTGGAGCCAGAGAGGACATCGGGAAGGGTGTGGTGGTCACAGCAGCTGAGGGAAAAAAACCAAACACCAGAAATGAAATTCAGAGTGGTACACCTGTAAGGAAATGGAGGCAGTGGGGGTGGCTCTGGTTATAAAAATGTACCTCTCTCTGTGCCCCATTTAGCCCGGTGTCAGGGCATCATTCTCGGTTGTGTGTATTGGGTGGGGAGGAGAGGTGACTCCTGCCACCCCCATCGCAGCCCACATTTCCATGCATGTCCTCTGGACCCCTCCCATCCATAGTGGGTGTAACTGGAGGGGACAGTTGGCTGGTTGAGCAGCTCCGATTTTTCAGGGGAAGGGAGGTGGGCACAGACACACAGAAGTCTGAAATACTCACTGTTGGGAGTGGTGGCTGAGGTCTGATGGGTGTAACCTGTAAACAGAGGGAGAGATGGTGGGAAGTAAGAAGTGAGAGCTCTTCAGTGGGGAGGCAGCTGGGCCACCACAGCTATGAGTCATTAGAAGGAAGACTGAGTGCTCACCCAGAAGAGATCAAAGTCCACTGCTGCCCTCCGACTCCAGAGGGACAGAGGACTTGCTCTAAGCGCCCTGGAATGTGAGCCCCTGGTGCAAGTCTGAACTCAGCGCAGAACCCGCTGCAGCAGAGCCCCCCCCCCAAAGCCCCTCACGGCTGGTGTAGACACTGTCACCACAGAAGCTGGGAGAGCATATCCCAGGTGCTTGGGCTGGGGACCTCGTCATCTTGGAGAAGCCAGGAAGGAAGTGCCTGTATCTGGGGCTTTAATGGGTTTTCCCAAGGCTGGAGGTGAGATGGGGCTGGGAGTGAAGGCAGAGGCCCCTGGCTTCTTTCATTCCTTAAGGCTGGGACTCAGATGGAGAGTTAGAGACTTCTGAGGCCCTCACTGCTGGGGGTGGCGGCCTGAGCTACACAGGAAGAGGGAGAAAGGGTGAGGAGGAGGCAGGATAGGTCAAAGGAGAAAAGGATGGGGAGAATGTGTGATCTCTTGAAATGCAAAAATTAAAAAAAGATGGCAACCCCTTACCATTGACATAGAGACTGTCCTGGTCCAGGGTGTACAGGCCCAGCTGGGTGACACCATGGGTCAGCAGGCTGAGCTCCCAGTACAGCCGCTCCCTGTGCAGCCCGGGGCCTGTGGGCTCAGGGCGATGCGTGCAGACCGCATCCACTCCCGTGGCTGAGCCATTCTTCTCAGGCCTGGGGAGGTTGGGAGAGGGGGGTGAAGTGATGATAAATGAAGCCTCTGGGGGCAGGACAGGAAGGGGCAGAGGACGTGAGAGGACTGGGAGAGCGGTAAGAAGTCAGGCTTAGATTCTCTGAGGCACCGACTTCTAGCCAACCTGGGATCCGTCCTCCTGGGGCCTGGGAAGGGAGGAACATGGGGATGGGGCGTACGCGGGACTGATGATGAGGGAGACCTGCAAGAGTAATAGCTGAAGAAGCCACAAAGCTGAAATCACCTTACTTAGAAGGAAAAGGGAGGGAGGAAGGGAGGGAGGGAAGGAGGGATACGAGGAAGGGAGGGAGAAGGAAGGAAAGAAGGAGGGAGGGAGGGAAGGAAAGGAGAGAAGGAGGGAGGAAGGGAGGAGGGAGGGGAGGGGAGGGAGGGAGAAGGAAGGAAGGAAAGAGACAAAATATCTAGAACTTATAAAAGATCAATAGATTAATAACAAGGTGGACTGGGACTCGAGTCGGCATAGGGTTTGCTCATCATCCACGTCCCAGTCTCCTGCCATCCCACTCTCAGATTAGGCCAAGGAGGAAGAGGAAAAAAAAAGTAAGGGCAGCCCCAAGATCTTGCATCATCTTTGAGCACCTTAAATGTGGGTTAAGAAATATGCATGACACAAGACTGTCCATTTTTGCTTAAAAAATTTTCCTTGGGACAGTATAATTTTGGAAATTGCAAAGCATTAATTCTAAGGAGATATCCTGCACCTCATTTGGGATCTGAAGGGAGACCGAGCAGAGGCCTAAGGAGACAGAACGCAGGGAGAGGGCTCAGCCAATGTAGCTCCCCAGGTGCCCGGGGCCTGTTACACTGAGTGGGTGGGAAACAGGCAGCGGGTGGAGGGGAGGAACGGACTCTGGGAGGCAGGGGCGTGTGAGCATCCCCTCCTGGGCATCTCACCTGAGTGCAGTCAGTCTGCAGCCAGAATGCAGTGGGCCGATACTGGTGTTTTTGAGCAGAGAACCAAGCTGGGGAGGAAGGAGAGGGAGGTAAACAGGAGGAGAGGGGGCCGTCCGAGGGTGAGGAGGCGTGGGCAGCAGGCATCTGAGGGCTCACAGTGTGCCGCAGGACCTCCTCCGTCATGTTGAACTTGGCAGATCCTGGACGCCCCATGTCTGGCGTGTACTGCAGGTTTGTGATGGTCATATTGAGGGTGAACGGCACCAGGGTAGGGCTCGTGGCTGCAACAGAAGAGGCAGGTAAGAGGACCTGTCCTGGCCCCAGTAGGGCTCTCTGTCCAGTCCCTCCTCGAGCCTCCTGGAGCCCTTACACATATGGGCTCTGATTTTCTCCACTAGGGGGCTCCAAAGGAGCTCCAATGAAGGCTGGGACCATCATGTTAGTCTTACCCAACAGCTCTTAGGATCTAGAACTGGTTCTTCTCCTAGGAGCTCTGACTTGGGGTACCTAATAGGACCCCAAGACTTCCCCATATTGGCCTAGTTATGTGACAAGACTCATGCCTCAGGTTCATGGTTACAATTTTAGTTCATTCATTCACTCATTGAACAAATAAGCACCAGCTATGTGTGAGGCAGCATCATGGCACTGGGCACACAGATTTCTAGTTAGGAAAACAGACTTTCTGGCAGGTATTTTAATAGAAGGAATTTAATATGAAAGAGGAAACCCTGAAAGGATAACACAGAGATTAGCCAAATCAAGAAGCCATAGGGCTGGTGGGACAAAGGGACAAGAGAGTGGCACACTGGAAACAAGAACCAGACAATAAACATGAAAACAAAGAAGTACAATGAAAGTGTGGTAAGTACTGTGGAGGATTTAAAAAAATAACAGCTGAGTCCGATATCGATAGAGGAGTCAGGCAAGGTCTCTATGAGAACTTTGCATTTACTTCAGACTTAAAGGATGAGAAGGAGGCAGCTATGTAAGAAGCCAGAGGGAGTATTTCCAAGCAAAGTAACAGGAATTGAAAACTCCATATAGTTGGAAAGAGCAATGGCCAGGTTGCAGTGAGCAGAGAGGAGCGTCGAAGGAGTTGAGGTCAGAAAGGGCAGCAAGAATGAGGTCATTCAGGGACTTGTGCATCATGATGAAGAATGTGGATTTTATTGTAATAATGGTGGGAAGTGGCGGAGAGATCACCACCATCATCCCTGTCACCATCACATCTTCAGGAGCATCACCACCATCTCCATCATTGTCATCCCCACCACCATCATCATCACCACCATCACCACCACCATCATCATCTTCAGCATCATTATCACCATCCCCACCACTATCATCATCCCCACCACCATCACTGTCACCATCACCATCTTCAGCATCATTATCACCATCCCCACCACCATCATAGTCCTCATCATCACCCCCTACATCATCAACACTCACCATCACCATCATTATCATCACCACTACCACATCATCCTCATTATCACCACCATCATCACCATCACCAGCATCACGACCACCACCGTCATCATCATTTTTATCACAAGAGTATAAGCTCTCTAGAGGCAGCAATTTTCCCTGTTTTTTGTTCCCTGCTGTATCCCTTAGGGCATGGCACAGAGTAGGTGCTCAGTAAGGGCTGTTGGTCGACTCACTACCACTAGATTTACTGTGACTTTCTATCTTTATTTGAGGGAGTAATGTCCGAGATGATTACATTGATCAGGTACTCTCTAATTGGCCGGTGACTGGTGCTCACCTGTGGGGCTGGAGGAGGAGAACGGAGTCCCAGAGGTTCCCAGGTCCCCTGCAGAGGTCCCAGGAGCTGAGGAAAAGCCCTCATGAGTGAAAGCAGAAAGACACTCGCATGACAGAAATGGCCGCAGGAGAGGTTACTGGGCTTGCTGCATGGGGGGGCTTGAGCTGGGATTCCCTTTGGATCTGGGGCAGAGGGGTGAGTAAATAAATTGTGCCCTCCCTGGAGCTCCTTCCCCCCGAGGATGTAAACAGGCTGAGGAGGGCTCAGCTCCTCCTCTGCCTGGTGTGTGTTGGGGCTGGGGGTCATCAGCTGAGTACTCACTGCTGGTGCTGAGTGCAGAGATCTGATGGGTAAAACCTGTAGTGAAAGGTGGGAGGATAGCGGGTAAGGGTTAAGGGGGAGGTCGGGGACCACAGAGGATCAGGGATGCTCTGGTGTAATGGAGGGGGCTTCACCAGAACGGTGAAACAGGGGCAGAGGCTACCAGGCATCAGCATTCCTTTATCAGGAATGAAGGCCATGAGGGTGGGGTCAGTCTAAGAGTAGGAAGAAGCCGTGAGGCCCAGACCTGACCAAAGCACACAGCCAAGCCTCTAAGGGCAAGACAGAGGCTCAAGTCAGAGAGTAGAGGCTCTAACCACATCGCAGCTGCTCACCATTGACATAGAGGCTGTCCTGGTCCAGCATGTAGGGGCCCAGCCGGGTGACGCTGTGGGTCCACTGGCTCAGCTCCCAGTACAGCTGCTCTCTGTCCAGCCCAGAGCCTTCAGGGTCAGGGCGATGCATGCAGATGGCGTCCACTCTGGTGGCTGCCCCGTCCTTTTCAGGCCTGGGTAAGAAACTCCACATGGTTGTTCCAACCATCTCTCTGTTCATCCTTTCCTCCCTCTCTTTACCACCCCTAAGGCAGGAACTTGGGGAGCCCAAGTTAACAAGGAAGCTGCTACCTTCAGGGAGACACCCTCCATAAACAAAGAGCTAGGACTTTGCATGCTTGGGAGAGAATCCGCTGAAAGCACTGGGTGTGTGATGTGTGGCAGACACAGAGAAGGTACCACTGATGGGGGCAAGCAGTCCGAGAGAATGCCAGATGTAGCCATGACAGCCAAGTCATGTCACAGGTCCTGATGGACACACCTGGGTGCCAGGGTCATGCTGTAGTGGGTGGCAGTGGCCCCAGGACAAGTGACCAAGGCATGGCCAGTGACACTTTGGTTTTCAAATGGTGGGATCAGATAGCTGCGTTCACCCTCTCTAGGTCTTATGTACCAGCAGAGGTTGGATATTTCTAAAGAGACTCAGGGAGTAAATGGCTGGAGAGAGATGCCTTTTTGGTGAGTCTGTCTGAAAGCATCACTTGTCCAACAGAGGGCCTCTGTGTCTCTGCACCCTCTCCAGCCATAGAACACTGACCCACCTACCCTGTCAATAGGCTATTGAGGGAGGGAGAGAAGGGGGCTCTCGTGCCCCAGGGCCATGGATGGACTCCAATAATAACAACTGCCACTTATTATATCCTGAGTATGCAGCAGGCCCAGAATTTTATATTCATGATCTCATTTAATCTTCAAAGCATCTCTATGAGCTCGATTGCTCAGTTCCCACAATTATTATGCCCATTATACTATATGTTATATATAACACAATTATATATAAATGTATATTAACACAGAGCATTAATCTATAATGCTTATAGATTATATGTATTTATATAATAGTTTACTATTATATTATGTATTACATATAAAATTGTATTATATATCTGTCATTCCTACACTAGATAATACATGTTTAATATTATACCTATATACATTATATATTATACCTATATGTAATTATTATACCTGTATTATATATAGTATATAATAGCATATAATATGTATTATACATATAATTATAATTATGTATAATATGTATTATGCCATATTATAAGTATACCATGTATATGGTGTACTTATATATTGTATAGCTTTATATAATTATATATCTATACCTAATATACATATAATATATATCTATATATACAATTTTATATGTTATATCCATATCATAAATATATAATATAGAAATGTAGCTCTATATATAACTTGCATATCTGAAATATAATATATATTAGGTATAGGTATAATAGGTATATATTATAATGATACCTATATTTTATTTATGAGTACATATTGTGTATGTACAATATATTACATATAGATGTAATATATTGTAACACACAAGGAAACAGGGCACGGAAAGATTCAGGCACTTGCCCAGAATAAATGGCATAGCTGGGATTTGAACTCAGGTCTGTGTGACCTCACCAAGGCTCTTAGCCACTAGGCCCTTCTGCCTCCTCTTCCCTCAGGAAGAAAGGGAGCTGGAGATAAATGGCTGTGATGAAGTGTGAATCCAGCGAGGACCAGACCTAGAGATTCTGTGAGAGAGGCGTGGCAGGTGAGAACGCCAGGGGTGAAACGGCTGCACGTCTAGGTGCCCTTTCTAGCACCTGAGGGATGGCGCCTTCCCAGCCCCCAGCCAGCCCAGGGCAGCCCCGCCCCCTTTAGCTGAGCAGCACGCTTTCTCTCTGTATCTCTTGCTGCTTTACCCTCTCAGATTCTCTGGCAAGTTCCTTCAGAGAGGTTGTCAGATTGGTATTTTCCACGCCCTGCCAGGACAGAATGGGGGCAAAGGAGGCAGCGCTGCTTAAGGACTAGGAGTTTGGATCTAGAACCCGAAATGCTGAGCTTGCTCTGTGCGACCTGCCCGAGCCGCTTAATCCCGCTGAGCCTCCACTTCACCTTCTGTTCCTGCTTCGTGAGGCTGCTGAGAGGCCTGATGAAGTGAAGTATAAAGTCACAGCACTGTGCCTTGGGTCTTAGCACTTGTTAGTTGTTGGTATTATTATTATTATTGTTGATGCTTAGTTTCTGTGAACAGTAGATGTTCTAAGTATGGGCAAAATTAGGGAGCCCATAACTTAGGGTCCCGTGCACTCGTTGGCTGTGTTCTTGGGGAGGGTCTTACCTGAGCGAGGCTAGTCCGCAGCCTGAGTAGAGGAATCCCAGACTGCTGTTCTTGAACGCAGGTTTGAGCTATCGGAAAGGAGGAGGAAGTTGAGAAGGTACTACTGAGGGAAGTCAGCAAGAGCGGTGGGGCAGAAGTGTCGCAGGCTAGGGCATAGGTGGGGTGGGCGGGGCTGTGGAAGTGGGCGGGGCTGGTGTTGGTGGGCGGGGCTCTCACCAGCTCCTGCAGGATCCTCTCCGTGGCGTTAAATTTCCAGGAGCCTGGGAGCTGCATGTCCTCCTCGTAGTGCAGGTTGGTGATGGTGAAGTTGACAGTGAAAGGCACCAGGAAAGGGACTGCTGCTGCAGCAGGGGAAGGAAAAAGGAGGCCACTTGAGTCAGACCCAGGCTGAGCGCTAAGACAACTTCTGGGGACAGAGATGGAGGGCCCAGACCTGAGGAAGCAGGGATCCACGGCAGACAGGTAGGCCACTTTAGGACCAAAGATAGAAGGCTAAATAAAGAGCAAAGCAAGATGCTGTTAAATGCAGTAGCATGAACATCCACTAGGATGGCTATAATTTTTTTTTAAGGAAAATAAGCGTAGGCGAGGATATGGAGAATTTGGACCCTCATGCGTTGCTGGTGGAGCTGCTATGGGAAACAATTTGGTGGTTCCCCAAAAGGTTAAACCTGGGATTACCATACGATCCAGCAATTTCACTCCTAGGTACACACCCTCAAATAACTGAAAAAGAGAGACTTGGATACTTGAAAACATGTTCATAGCAGCAGCATTCACAATAGCCAAAAAGTGGGAAAAACCTAAGTGTCCATCAACAGATGAATGGATAAAGAAAATGTGGCATATACAATGGAATAGTATTCAGCCATTAAAAGAAATGAACTTCTGATACTTCTACAGCATGAATGAGCCTTGAAAACACTGTGCTACATGAAATACCAAACACAAAGGGACAAATATTGTGTGATTGCCCTCACATAAGGTACCTAGAATGGATGAATTTATAGAGACAGAAAGGAGAATCGATGTTATAACTGCACATTCAACTTTAGTCTTTCTCAACACTGTAAACTTGGTGAGGGGAGGGACTACACCTGACGTAAAATCTTATCCCCTCTGCCCAGCCCAGAACACATACCCAAAAATTATTTGTCAGACTGAATTCCTGGGGGCCCCCTGTGCTAGGTGTTCTTTACACATTTTCATTTAACCTTCACAATGACTTGATGAAGAAACAGAGGCATCAAGAGGGTAAGTAAATTGGTCAGCAGAGCTAGACAGATGAGGAAGTCACATCTTCTGCTCCTGAGGAATTCAGAGCAGAGCAGGGGCAGTCATGTAAACGTTAAGTTCAATCCCCTCTTTCTTCCTCAAAAGTGTCCAGCATGAAAAAAAAAACTGTATAGCCATCCTGAGGTTAAGGTGTGAAAAAGGTCAGAAATCTGAGCTGGGTGACTGTACCCTCTGCAAGTCTCATCTGTGGAGCACCGTGTTCTGACCTTTGTGCTGGACCCTTCACGCAGAATATCTGATAATCCTGAGCGGTAAGTATTACCATTTCCATCTTCCAGATGGGGAAACTGAGGCTCAGAGAAAGTAAAATTTGCCCACATCCCACAGACAAAGAAATGGCACAGCTACAGTGTCTCTTTAGCTCAGAAATAGATGTCTGTTTGTATGTCTGATCTCCAGGAACAGCTCCAAGAAGAACAGACAAGCACCTGATGTGTCAAAGTTTAGAAAGTAAGAGAGAGTAAATGGCACAGGCTGAGGCCGGGTGGCTATCAGGGACCGGACCACGAGACCATGCAGGGTTGAAGTTTCCTCCCACAGGCCCCAGAGAGCAGACTCCTACCTGTGGAGCTGAGGATGAGGGCCAGAGATGAGGAAGGTTCTGGAGAGAATGTAGAAGTCACTGGAGCTAGAAAAAAAAAAAGAATGTGGGGAAAATGATTTGAGTCCCATCTGGAAGGAATGTGGGCAGAAGCTGTTGCCTGGAATTTGGGCTTCTGTCCTGACTCAAAACAAAAACCTGAGTGGGTTAGGGCTGCTCTGAGGCTGCGGCTGGGCATTTAGGGAGGGGGCGTGGGTAGCTTCTCTCCTGAAGGATGTGCTCTGGGGAGTAAGGGTCCAGTGGGCACTGACATTGCACACTTTAGAATACTCACTGCTGGTGGTAGGGGGCCGGGACTGACGGTGGTAGCCTGCAGAAAGGGAGAACACAGCACAGAAGGACTGTTAACGACCGGTCAGAGATAAGAAACAGCTGGATGGCGGACCTAGAAATGAAATTCATGAACAAACTTTCTGAGAGCCACATAAACAATAATGGCTACGTTTTATTCCCAATTTTATTCTTTGTGTGCCTTGGCCTTTGAAAAGAATAATCAACATCATCGCCATTATTACTGCCAAAATCAGAGTACAAGAATAATGTTCGTGAGACTGTCTCTATTTTATAAATAAGTTCATTTATATCCTTCAAAAAAATTTTTTTTTAGATTCTACACATGAGTGGTATCATACAGTATTGTTCCTTCTCTTCCTGGCTTACTTCACTTAGTGTGATGATTTCTCTAGGTCCATCCTTATGGTCACTGGGGCGGGGGGTGAGGAGGGGTAAACTGGGAGTTCGGGATTTGTAGACACATACTACTATACATAAAGTAGATAAACAACAAAGTCCCACTGTATAGCACAGGGAGCCATATTCAATTTCTTACAATAACACATAATGGAAAAGAATCTGAAAAGAAAAAATATATATGTATGTATATGTAAAAAAAATGTGGCATTGCTATCTGGATGGTTTTCCCTGATGAATTGTCTATTTGATTCATAAATTGATCTCATCATTTAAAATAAAAAATTAACAAATAAAATCTCAAAACAAACAAAAAGAATTAGCCACTGTGACAGTGATTATTCTCAGTCTTAGCCTCGTGGTTGGGGCAGAGTGGCCGATGGTGTTGTGTAAACAGTTCTTATTCACGGGGTATTTGCTCCGTGTGGTGGTGTTCCGTGAAGTCAGTGTAGTTCCAGCTGGCCTGTGGAAACTTAGAAAATTGTTTCAAGTTGTCATAATGGAGGGAGTGATGTGGAGCGAGGGCTGAACCGGACACCTGCTGTCCGGTGGGACGGGTGAACCGCAGAGTCCAGCATCACCTGCTTCCTTCCCTGGAATCCGCATATGTCAGCTGGGCTTCTGTGGGAAGCGGTGGAGTTCAGGAGGAGGGAACATTTCCTTCCAGGAAGTGAAAAGGGAAAGGAAGTCAGCCTCCCCTGGTGTGTCAAGCGCTCAAAAATGAGCCCTCGAGGTAATGCTAGGTTTGTACGAGGATGATGAAGTTCTCAAACTCAGCATTTGTGACACTTTGGTCTAGAGAATTCTTCATGGGGGGTGGGGTGAGGTGCTGCCTGGTGCATTGTGGGATGTTCAGTAGCACTCTGGCTTCTCCCCACAAGATGTCACTAGCACCCCTCCAGTCATGACTTGAAAATGTCCCGACACTGCCAGATGTCCCCTGGGGTGCAGAATCTTCCCAGTTGAGAACTGCTGGTACAGACAGACTCGGGGCTGGAGGAGACCCCAGCTGCAGCACAGACACTCACCGTTGACATAGAGAGTGTTACTGTCCAGGGTGTAGGTGCCCAGCCGGGCGACGCCATGAGTCAGCTGACTCAGCTCCTGGTACAACTTTTCTCGGTCCAGGCCAGGACGCGAGGGGTCAGGATGGTAGGTGCAGATGGCGTCCACTCCAGTTGCTGCCCCATCCTTCTCAGTCCTAGGGTGGCAGCGACAGGGAATGGGGCACTCAGCGATGTAAGAGAGTTATATACTTTGTTCAGATTGACTTATCCCCTCCTACCTTGGTTTATGACATTTCTCTTTACTGGGTCTTGTCTGATTTCTCAGCCATGCTCTTTTCTGGCCCTCTTCCTCTAGGTACCTTCCTACTCCTTAAAGTGATTGATCTTCAAGGCTTCATCCTCCTCCAGCTTCTCTCCCCCCCACCTTATTCTTGGATCATTCATTTCATACTCATCTTTTTCAGCTACCAGCTTAATTAGCATGAGATTTATTGGCACTCTCTGAGCTCTGTGCCATGGAAGCAGCAGCCTCAAGGATGTCATCCAGACCCATGAGATCCCATACGTCCCAACTTAACCTTATTGTCTTCCCCACTAAAAGCGCAGAGCCTGGTCCTCCTCCCATTTTTCCATATTAGTACCAGAGCCAGAGATATAGGAGGCTTTCTGGACCACCCCCCATCCTTTGTCTCCCCATCCAAGCAATATCCAGGTCCAGTCCGACATCTCACTGGTCTCCCCCCAGCTCCTGCCCCATCATCACAGCAAAATGTTCCATCCCCCTCCCTACCAGTGTTCTGTTGAAAATAAACTACACCATGTCAGGGCTCTGCTCACAACAGCTCCACAGATTCCCCCAGCTCTGAATAAGTTTAACTAATATTTATACACCACCTACTGGCTGATAATATTTATGGAACACCTACTGGGTGATCTGCTTTGACATCTGCTGTCTCTTTTATCTTTTCAGTAACTCTATGAGGTAAATGCTGATACGATTCCCACTTTATGGTTGGGAAGACAGAGTCACACAGATGTTAAAGAACTTCCCACACATCCCACAGCTGGTGACAGAGACAGGATGTGACTTCATGTATTTGGACCCAGAGACCATCGATGCTTGACCTTCTGCTGTGCAAAATGCTGTGAAAACTCTTTAGCATGACTTTGACTCCAGCTCCAACCTGAACTCTTGATGGTATTTACTACTCCTCACTCATTCCGCAGCTCATCCCTCACTCAGCCAGCCTCCTTCCCTTTCTTTCCCTCCCTCCCTCCGTTCCTCTCCCCCCTCATTCATTCAATTGCTGTTTGCCCCATACTCTATTCTCCAATTTCACAGAGCTTTCCTCGTGTACCATGGTATTTCTCACATCTGTCCCATTACTTAAAACATGCCAGCCCTGGAAATATCTTTGCCAATGTTTCTTCTGGCTAATGCACACTCACCTGTGAAAACTTGGCTCTGTGGGGAGGGCATAGCTCTGTGGTAAAGTGCACGCTTAGCATGCATGAGGTCCTGGGTTCAATCCTCAGTACCTCCATTAAAATAGACAGACAGACAGACAGACAGACAGAAAGACCTACCCTCCCCCCTCAAAAATGAGTCAATGCAAAGAGTCAAAAATACAGAAAGGAATAAAGAATAATTTAAGTATTTTCAAAAACTTGATTCAGGCATTGCCTTCTCCAAATAACCTCCACTCAGCTCCCCGAGATAGAGAATCAAAGTCCATTTTCTGGGCTCCCATTGCCCCGTGCAGTGCTGTGTATCATTGTACTAACCCCATTCAGATTATGGTTTTAAGTCTACAGGCTGCTGTCCTTTCTGCACTGTGGGCACCTTGGGGGAAGGGCCCATGACTGATTCTGTCAGTGCCTGTCACACCTGTCACAGGGCAAGTCCTGAGGTACCTCATTTCACGTCTGCTTAATAAGTCAGTGCCACCCTTTCAGACTGGTGAGTGTGAATGCTCCGTGGTTCTGCTTATCCAAATTATTTAAGACCTCTTTCAGGAAGCCCTCTCTGACCACTCAACCAGGGTGGATGCCTTCTGCATCTGAATTCCTGGAAGGCCCCAGTCATTTATGATCGTCACCTTCTAGTTGTCATGTTCAGGTCCTCACCTCCAGAAGAGTTTGCTTGTGACAGTGCCCCCTTTGTGTCGTAGGGGAGGGAAGTCTCACCTGAGTCGGGTCAGCCTGCAGCCAGTGTACAGTGGGCTGATGCTGGTGTTCCTGAACACAGGACCAAGCTGGGGAGAAGCGAGAGGGCGGTGAGCAGGAGGGGCTGAGGGACAGGGTGGGGCGAGGACCAGGCCGGCCGGAGTCGGCATGGATGGGCTCCTACCAGGTGATTCAGGGTCTTCTCCGTGGAGTTGAACTTTGCAGAAACTCGGTGCCCCATGTCAGGGGTAAAGAGCAGGTTGGTGATGGTGAAATTAAGGGTGAACAGCACCAGGGCTGGGCCCATGTCTGCAACTGGAGGGAGAGAGAAAGAGGAGACCCTTCACAGTCAGGCCTGAGCTGTTTCGGGGGGAAGGGACTAGTGCCATCTCTCTGCCCATAGTGTCCAGTAGGTGAAGACTGAGACAGCCCATCAGGATACCCTCCCTCCTCCGCCAGAGGAGGAGATGGGACCTCCGTGTTAGACGTGTGACATCAGCTTGAAAGGGAACCTCAACCCTCTTATCCCAGAGTGTCCACAGGCAAACATGTCATGGACATCTTTATGGAAACAGGAGGGACCAAGACCCTTAGTGCTCAGGCCTTAGAATACAAGTACTTGAGCAATCAAGAAATGCAAAATAGCAGTATTTCCGGGAAGGAAATGTTCAGATAGACAGACTGGAGGTTAGCTGTGGGGAAATGCTATCTTATAGGGGGTGGTCTGAGCAAGGACGTGCTGAGATGAGATCTGGAGGACAAGGAGGAACCAAGGACAGTAAGTCCATGAGGATGGGAGGATGTCTGAACCCCGGAGGAACAGAAATGAGGCTGGTCTGGCCAGAGATTAGGGAGCAAGGTAGACAGGGGTCAGGCTGAGGCTGTGTGCACATCAGGGTCCAGACCATGCAGGAGCTCATCAGCTACTGAACGGGAGGTGAAGTCTCATGAGACCCAGAGATTCGATTCCTACCTGTAGAGCTGGGGACGGGGGTCAGAGATGCTGGGGGTTCTGGAGAGAGTGTGGTGGTCACTGGAGCTGAAAGAATCAAATGGTTAAGTCCTATCATGAAGCAATGAGAGGCTAGAGCTGTTGATGGAAATTTGCATCTCTAGCTTGGCTTAACCTGAGATTTTCCTGATCTGGGGCGGTCATGGGGCTGAGCATCTGGGGGATGGGGCACACTTTCCTCCCAAGGAGCAGGCTTAGGGAGGATGGGTCCCAGGTTCATGGGGACACCCAAGCCCTCGTTACTCACTGCGAGTGGTGGGAATCCAGGACCGATGGTTATATCCTGCCGAGAGAGAGGCAGAAGGAAAGAGCAAGATGATGGGGGAAGGTGAAGAAAGGGGTGAGGAGTTAAAGCTCACAGACCTTCCTGGGAGCTTTCTCTGGGAGTCGGCAACAAATAATGATGGCTGCTTTTTATGAGTTAACTGCCTCATACTCTGATGCTTGTGATAAAAATTCATCCTTATTACTATGAACTGCAAAGAAAATAATCAAAACACCCTCATTATTGTGGGGGTTTACTAGGTGCTTGGAATAATAGCAACCTCATCAAATGAATAATAAGGACAGTAATTTTATATGAGTGTTTCCAGCCTCGTTTGCATTTTCTTCATTCATGAAATTTAATTTTGTCGTTGCTCTTTGGGTTTCTCCCACTACCCAGCTCTCCAAAGACAAAGCTTGACCCTTGACAGCATAGTTCTTGCACTTCCGTCATGTTGACTTGAGATAGTGAGGGAGAGCAAGGGCGAGGCTTGCGGGTCAACCAGAGAGTATTTGGAGAATAAGAGGAAATGGGGGAAAAGAGGGCTTGAATAAGTATGGTCCTAGATTATGGACTGGATCCTCTCTGATGCTCTGTGAGTAATGCAGGGAAACACTAGATTTGTTTTATAATTGATGGTCTGACTGGGCTTATTGAAATGAAACTCCTCTCTGAGATCGGACCAAGTGGAGCCCTGTGATTTACTTGGGTTTTTCAGGTTTTATCTCATTTAACCCTCACACTAATCTTAGGTGACTTTAAAAAAAATTCCAAAATGGACAAAAGTCCAGAGAGGTCATAGCTTGCCCTGGGGCCACACAGTAAGCACAAAGCAGGACTAGTACTTAATTAAAGCAAAAATCTCCCCTATCCTTAATGTCTTCATTTAGAAATTTTCTCACTCTGCTCCTTGGCTATAAACTCCCACTTGTTTTTTGTTGTATTTGGAATTTAGTTTGCTTCTATACTGAAATGTATTCATTCCCCTGTTGCGATAGTTACCAAATAAAACTTTACCACTTAAAAAAAAAAAAAAAGACCTGTAATTCTCCCAAACCCACAGGGGTTAACTACTGCTTTTACCTAATTCCCAAGGAATGTATTTTGTTGAAATACAGAACAGATTTTAATCCAGGTAGGAAGAAAATGTCCAAGGTGATATAGTGGGGACGTAATTACTTAATTAGTTTAAATTGTCCTATTAGAGGCTTCTTAATATGCTTCTCCACCCTGGGATTTGAGGCTTGTTCTAGCTGGGTTAGTCTGCAGTGTAGACTAGTCGTTACGCGGGCTCAGATTTTAGAGTCAATTTAGGGTTTGAGTACCGACTCTTATCACATCTATTAGCTGTCTGATCTTGGGAAAATGAATTTCCCTCCCTGAGCCTTCTTTGCTCCCCTGTAAAATACACATGATGCCTCACAGAGTGTTAGACTGGATAAGACATAAGACACCTAATGCTCTAGATCATAGGAAGCTCTCGGTGAACATTAGCCTTTAGGAAATGTGGTTATGGTGAGTGTTGTTGCTAAGGAATTTGTTGCTAAAAGCATTACTAACAGCTCTGTTGTTGATTTCTTAGTGGGGTGTCATTCCAGCTGGCCCTCGGAGAGTGAGTGCAGGGCCACCAGCTGCCATGAGGAGGAGAAAGGAGGGGATCAGTCACTGCACTGGGAACCCAGCGCCTCCTGGGGAAGAGTTAACCCCAGTGGCCGCAGTGGCCTTGTTCTCCCCTCTTCCTTCCTTGATGTCCATGTGCTCCCTCTGGGCTTCTGTGAAAAGTCATTGGAATGAAGAAGACTTTGGAGGAAACCTTTATCTCCAGACCTTGCAAGTTCTGTATTAGGTGCTCTAAGGCGAGAGCACTGAGCCCCCATGGAAATTCTAGGTTGGTCCACAACCCTGAAGGGGGGATACAGAGAAACTGCACTGCAAGGAGACCCCATCTGGGGAGGAGGAGGAGGAGATCCCAGCTGCAGCAGAGCCTTACTCACCATTGACGTACAGACTGTCCCTGTCCAGGGTGAAGGGGCCCAGCCTAGTGACACCACGGGTCTGCTGGCTCAGCTCCCAGTACAGCCGTTCTCTGTCCAGCCTGAAGCCTGTGGGATCTGGGCGGTAGGTGCAGACCGCATCCATTCTGGTACTTCCTCCGTCTTCATCAGCCCTGGGCAAGGAGGGACACGGGAGTAGGGACATGAAGAGACACTTGAGAGCTGGATACTCTTGACGACCCCTGCCTTCCATTGCACCTCTTGGTTTTCATGTCAGCCCTTTTCCCTGAGTTTTATCTGCTTTCTTGAACACATCTTTTTCTGCCTCATGTCAGGGTCCAGATCCCCCCACCTCCTTAAATGCAGGACTCTCCAGGGCTACACCTTAGCTACATTTCTTCTTTTTCTCCTCATTCTTTTCATTTGGTTCAAGCTCACTGTTTCAACTACTCGCCCTGAGCACACTCCCCATCCACTCATGGAGGTAAATGGCAACAGTGTCCACTCCAGGAACGGCTGAGTCCTGCTTGGGCCAGAGGGTTGGGGATGCGGCACTGCCAGGGAGGAAAATCCTGAGAACCTTGGGGACAGGCAGCATGTGGCAGGGAAAAGCAAGAGGATCAGAGACCTTTGAGAATGCGACTGAGTCACCCCCATGGCTGGCTGTGATGCCGTGTGACAGCCATTACGGAGCTGGAAAGGGGAGGGACTTTATTTCAAGTTAGTAGATCCAAGGGCCAAAGTCAACTCTTGGGAAACATGTGTTGGACAGCCAATCAATTGGGAGAAAAACAGAGAAAATGAGTTAAGAAAGAATAAAGAGCAATGTGGTTCAAAAACATCTTTGTCCTGGGGAAGGGCGAGGGTATAGCTCAAGTAGTAGAGCACATGCTTAGCATGCATGAGGTCCTGGGTTCAATCGCCAGTGCCTGCATTTAAAAAGAAAAACGAATAATAGATAAATAGACAGACCTAATGACCTCCCCTTCCAAGAAAAATTTTAAAATAAATAAAAATTTAAAAAAAATCTTTGCCCTGAATTTAAGCTGACCCTACAGTGATTCACTGAAAGTGAGAACTTTGCAGGTAGGAAGAAAGATCCCCTTCCTCCCTCGGGCGGGAATTCTGTGTGCTGCTATCCATGCTGTTCAGAGCATTCCCATTTCATGTCCATAGAGTGTCACGCAGTGGTTCTCAAAGTGTGGCCCAAGGACCCCAAGGACCCCTGGAGTTCCTGAAACATACAGGGTATCCACCAAGTGAAAAATACTTCCACAATAATACTGAGACATTATTTTCACTTTTCACTCTTTCCAGAGTATACAGTGAATTTTTTTCCCCTAGAGGCCACAAGGTAAAATACTGTAAAATACGGAGTGCAGAAGCAGATACCCTCTCTTCTATGAAGCCAGACATTTAAAAAATTTGGAAAAATAGAAACAATGACTCTTTTCTCATTGTGCTTTTTTGGGGGAGGGTAGGAGACATATGGCTATTATTCATAAAAATATGTTACCTATGCTAACCTGTAATGGGTTGATCGTTTTTAGTGTATTAATGAATAAACGTTTATAAAATCTCTCCATTTTAATTTCTAATGCAGTCAGTATGGGCAGATAGAACCCTCAACTTCAAAGGCTCTTTGGAGTTCTGGGTACTTTTTAAGAATGTAAGAAGCTTTTGAGCCCAGAGAACTTAAGCACTGCTGGTATCTGTGGTTAAAAGGAGGGACTGGAGAACCAGAAAACCAGGGTTCAAACTCTGTCTCCTCCCAAGCAAGTTAGCTTGGCCACTCTGAGCCTCAGTGCTCTCATCACCAGGCAGCATAACCATCGTACTGTGAGGATGAAATCAATGGAAAGATGTAAACCGCTTAGATTACTGGGTGGCGTGTGGAGTCGGCAATATTATCCTGATTATTAATTCTCCCGTCTTACAGAGAGATGCGAGCAGGCGTGGTGGTGGCCTCAGCTCATTGGAGGACACTTGATCTACAGCATTCCAGGAATTTCTCCTCATGGAGCAATGCAGGTAGAGGACCCACCTCTCTGGCAGGATGACTTGGGTTGACCAGATGGAGGACCCCATGGAGAGGCCATAGCATCACCAAGTGTAAGGAATGGGTCCTGAGCAAGTTCACTGACCTCAGAGGACGTGGAGGAGATGTAGGCAGAGAGGAGGGGAAAGGCCATTTCTGCAGAGTTCAGGTCCATTTGAGAATTTTAAAATTGCAATATGTCCTACTGGTAATCCATATTTGTTTTGTTTTTCCCTTTGGTTCAGTACTTCTTTTCAGGGAATAAACTGCAGAGCTCTGATGTTCAGAGTTTGTCTCCAACAGGGTAGAGATGAGCTGGGGCAGGGAGAGTGTCAGGGATCCTGGTGACCCAGTCGGCAAACATGTTACACCAGCTGGTACTACCAGATGCCATTAACTGAGTGCTTACAATGGGCCAGGCGTTGCAATGAACAATTAACAACCCCAAGAGTAAGGTACTGTTTAATCACACTTTTTCAGATAATGTGATTGAAGAACAGAGAGGTTATGTGACTTGCCCAAGGTTACACAGCTAACAAATGGGAGAGGAGGGGCTCAGACCCAGGCACCTTGGATCCACTGCCTCTTGGCACTGGCCCAATAGCTGGAATGACCAGGGTGTGAGAGAGCAGGAGAGGGAACTGGGGTTTCTGGAGGTGCTTAGGAGGAAGACTCACCTGAGCAAGGCCAGTCGGCAGCCAGCATACAGGGAACCAATGCTGCTGTTTTTGAACAACAGCCTGAGCTGGAAAGAGTAAGAGGGAGATGAGTGGGAGGGACCGAGACAACAGGGTGTGGTGGGGCTGGGGCACGGCGGGCACTGATGGGGGTCCCTCACCAGGTGCTGCAGGTCTCTCTCAGTGGCTCCGAATATCTCAGACTCTGAGTTCCCCATGTCCTCCGTGTAGCGCAGGCTGGTGATGGTGAAGTTGACAGTGAAAGGCATCAAGAAAGGAACTGCAGCTGCAGTGGTGGGGAGAGTAAAATGAGGCCAGTCCTGAGTCAGCCTTGGGCTGAGTGGGAGTGGGAGGCGAGGCGCTGAGGACACACCTTAACTCCAGTGCCCAGCTGGGGACCTGACCTAGGTGGTCCTACCTGAGACGCCTCGTGCAGCAATTCCTGCTCAGGGCCCTCGCACACAGGTGATCAACCATCCTAGTTTGCCTGGGACTATGTGGATTCCTGGGATGTGGACTTTCAGTTTTAAGAGTGAGATAGTCCTGGGAAAACTCGGATGAATTGGTCTCCCACTCCCATGTCCCCTTGGCTCTTAACCATTTCAGCACACACCAGCACCTGCATCTCTTTGTCTTTGGGGACTTAGGCCCAGGGAGCATCCGTCTAGCAGTGACTGATGGGAGATGAGAGATGGGAGATACCCCGGCTCCCTCACCCCCCGAGATGGGATAACTCCAAAGTGCACGTTCTCTGCATTCCCCTAGGGTTCCCCTAGGAACTGAGTCCCCTCCAGAACTGAGACAGTAAATTACTGTTGTTTAAGCAACCCAGTTTGCTGTACGTTGTAAGGCAGCCCTAACAAACCGATAATACCAGATGACCTAACAATTTCTAGTCTAGGTCTGTCCCCAGAAAGAATGGAAACAGGGACTCAAACAGATATGTGTACACCCATGTTCAAAGCAGCAATTTGCAGTAGCCAAAAGGTGGAGACAGTCTAAGTGTCCATCAACAGATGAATGGAAAGATAAAATTTGGTATATCCACACAATGGAATGTGACTCATCCCAGAAAGGAAGGAGGTTCTGCTACACACAACATGGATGAACCTTGAAGACACTACGTTGAGCGAAATAAGCCAGACACAAAAGGACAGATACATTGTATGATTCCACTTATGTGAAATGTCTGAACAGGCAAATTCAGAGACACAGTAAGTAGATAAGAGGTTAACAGGGGCCAGAGGGAGTGGGGAAAGAAGAGTTTTTGCCTAATGAGGACACAGATCCTGTTTACAGTGATAAAAAGTTTTGGAAACAGATAGTAGAGATGGTTGCACAACAGTGTGAATGTAATTAATTCTGCTGAATCGTACATTTTAAATGGTTAAAATGGCAAGTATTATTGCACATATATTTATATATATATTATAAATATATATTGCACATATATAATTTATACTTCACCACAATAAAAAGTTGTTCTTACTTGTTCCTGACGTCACACTCACAGAGGCCAAGGTGGACATTCCAGGTGTGGTCACAGGGACAAAAGGACTTCCAGCCAGCGGACTGAAGGTGGCTGTGGTCTCGGCCACAGTGGGGCCTGAACGTGTGGCAGCTAGATGCGTGGTCTCAACAGTGGTGGTTTTCAGGCTAGTGGTTGTACCTAATCCTTCTCCGTGACTGATTTTAGGTGGTGCCGAGGCCTCTGATGTCATCAAGGTCACAGTGCCCCCTGGAACGGTCTTGGGAGATTCTGGGAGTCCAGCTGAGGTCGCAGACGGTGAGGGTTCTGTGCCCCAGGAAGTTACGGTGTGAGGCTCAACAGTTGTCGCAGGGGTGCTGGGAGGCCCCCGAACGCCAGGGGAAACAGTCAGAGCTGGGATGCTTGTACTGGCCCCTGCTGCCAGGCGGGTGGGCTGTAAGCCATGGGGAAGAGCTGAAGTTGAAACAGCCGTGCTGCTGTGTGTCCCAGGATGGGTGGAGGGTGAGGCTGTTTCTGCAGGGATACCAGACGAGACAGTCAGACCCAGATCAACGCTGGCTGTCCCGGTCACAGGCGTGCTGAAGGGAGAGGCTGTGGTTTCTGGCGGACTGAGAGAAACTGGAAGAGCTGGACCAGTCTCCAACCCAGGTCGGATGGACGGTGAGGCTGTGGTTTCCGGTAAATGTGGAAAAATAGTCGAAGCAGGAAATTCTGTGCTTGTCTCTGCCCTGGGATGGGTGGCCAGTAAGGCCGTGGCTGCTGGCTCACCGGGAGAAAGAGTCAGAGGTAGAGTAGCTGTACTGGCGCCTGTCTCAGAACTAGTGGCCCAGGAGGTCACCATCCCTGGTACCCCAGGGGAGACAGTAGGAGTTGGAACAGCTGAACCGACTTCTGCCCCAAGACTGGTGGCCATGGAGAATGTGGAGTCGGATTCCCTATGGGAAACACCGGCGGTTGTCCTGGGAACAGTTGGGCTGGTCTCTGCAGGATGTGTGACCAACAAGACTGTTGTCTCTGGCTCCCCAGCAGAAACGGTCGTCATTGGAAAAGCTGAACTGGCTTCTGTCTCCGAACGGGTCACCCACGAGGCTGTGGTCTCTGGTTCGCGTGGGGAACCAGTCAGAGTTGAAAAAGCTGTACTGGTCTCTGTCCCAGAATCGGTAACCAGTGAAGTCACCGTCCCTGGTACACCAGGGGGGACAGTTGTAGCTGGGACAGCTGAACTGACCTTGGCCTCAAGACTAGTGGCTGTTGAGAATGTTGTGTCTGACTCACCATGGGAAACACTGGGGGTTGTCCAGGGAACAGTTGGGCTGGTCTCTTCAGGATGGGTGACCAATGAGACTGTTGTCTCTGGCTTCCCAGGGGAAGCAGTCACTGCGAGAATAGCTGAACTGGCTTCTGTCTCAGAATGGGTGACCCAGGAGGCTGTTGTCTCTGGTTTGTGCGTGGAACCAGTCAGAGTTCTAAAAGTTGTACTGATGTCTGCTGCAGATCTAGTGACCAGTGAGGTCACCATATGTGGCCCACCAGGGGAGACAGTTGGAGTTGGAACAGCTGAACTGGCTTCTGCCTCAGTACTGGTAGCAGTTGAGGGCATGGTGTCTGATCTGCTATGAGAAAAACTTGGAGTTGTTCTAGAAACAGTCTCTTTGGAATGGGTGACCCATGAGGCTGTTGTCTCTGATTTGTGTGGGGAATCAGTTGGAATTGGAAAAGTTGTACTGGTCTCTGCCCCAGAACTGGTGACCAGTGAGGTCATCAGCCCTGGCACAGTAGAGGAGACAGTTGGAGTTGGACTTGCTGAACTGGTCTGCACCCCAGGATGAGTGACCAGCGAGGCTGTGGTCACTGGTTCACCAGGAGAAAGTGTCAGAGTTGGAACAGCCACACTAGCATCTGTCTTAGTGCTAGTGACCTGTGACGTCACCCTACCCGGTACACCACCGGAGACAGTTGGAGTTGGAACAGCTGGACTGGTTTTGCCCCAGGACTGGTGACCACTGAGGATGTTCTATCTAATTCACTATGGGAAACACTGGGGCTTGTCCAGGGAAGAGCTGGGCTGGTCTCTGAAGGATGAGTGACCAATAAGACTGTTGTAGCTGGCTCCTCAGCAGAAACAGTCACAGTTGGAATAGCTAATCTGGCTTCTGTCCCAGAATGGATCACCC